TACAGACCCCCGATACATCCGATAATGAGTCTCTGGGTGTGGGCGAGCCTGTCATGCCACCATGGTTGCAAATTGATTCCATGTCTTATGGACAGTCCCGTATCTGGCTCCCTTCTATCTACCTCGATGACAAGACCACATACAACTGCACTACTTCCTATCGTCTCAAGGGACCATTGGACCTTGATAGACTGGAATCTGCACTTCAAAGAGTCACACAAAGACACCAGTCTTTCCGCGCCTCGTTTCATACTGACAGTTTCACTGGGGAGGCCAAGCAGGTCATTCTGAGAAAAAGCAAGTTCAGGCTTCGTGTCCTGGGATCGACAAACGACAAGAGTGATGTTAAACGTGAATTTGACAACATGCATAATCACATTTACGATCTTGAGCATGGTGATACTTTCCGCGCCATTCTCTTGGTTCATGCTCCCAACTATCACACCATCATCTTCGGTTATCATCATATCATTATGGATGGTGTCAGCTGGCAACTTACCCTTCAGGACATTGAGCTACACTATATCTCGTCGACAAAGCCCTCGAGTCCCGTTCAATACTCTCTGTTCGCCAAATCGCAGCGACAGGCCATTACTAGCGGTGCCTATTCCAAGCAGCTTCAGTTCTGGAAGAGTCAATTGCATGACCTATCGGAACCCCTTCCTTTGTTCCCCTTCGCAAAGACCAGTTCACGAAGGGAGATGACCAACTACGCGACCATTGACCTTGTGCAACCCCTTGACGCTTCTTTGACGAAGAAAATCAAAGCTGTCAGCAAGAAAGCTAAGTGTACGACCTTGCACTTCTATCTTACGGCCTTCCAAGTGATGCTTCACCACTTCCTCGGTGTCGACGATCAGTGCATCGGTCTTGTGGACGCCAACCGCAATGACCCCAATTTCATGCAGACGATTGGATTCTTGTTGAATTTCCTGCCGCTGCGTTTCAGCCTTGCAAATGACCCGAGCTTTGAGTATCTCGCTCAGCAGACTCGCACTTCTGTCTACGCTGCACTTGGGAACTCGGACATCCCAATTGATGTTATCCTCGATGACCTCCACGTTACTCGATCGACTACCTCTCCTCCGTTGTTCCAAACTATCTTCAATTATCGGATGGGCGCCCTCAAGCAAAACTCCATTGGTGATATCACCCTTGAATGGCACGACTACAAGGACACGCGCACGCCTTATGATATCGCGGTCTCTGTCGACGAGAAAGACGATGGCACCGGCGGTTTCTTGTCATTGGGTCTTCTTGAATATTTGTTTGATCGCACAGGTGGCGAGTTGCTGATGAAGGCCTATTTACACATTCTCGAGCAAGCCGCTGCCGACCCGACTATGCGGCTTAGTGACTACACGCTGTTTCCGGAGGCTGCATCTGAAGAGTCAATTTTACTTGGTATCGGCGATGATATCGAGACTACTTGGCCTGACACACTGTCTAAGAGAATCAATCATCTGGTTGAGACTCAGCCAGATTCACTTGCATTAAAAGATCCCGTAGGGAGGATTCTTACCTATCGTGAGATGGGCGATCGAGTCAACGCCATTGCCGCGGCACTCGATACGCTTCCTGCTGTGAAACCTGGATCGCGCATTGGAGTTTGCTGTCAGCCATCGTCGGACATGGTGTGTGCACTTCTGGCCATCCTACGTCTTGGGGCTGTCTATGTGCCTCTTGATTCCAGCATGCCTGTCGAGCGTCTGGCCTTGATTTGTGATGAGGCGCAGCTGAGTGCTCTCGTTAATGACAAAGGGACCGCCGGTGTTGCTCAAAAGCTCGAAGTCGGAATCAAGGTCGACCTTACAACTTTGCCGAGCCGAATTGAGAAGGTATTCTCGGACCGCAGTGAAGCGGGGTTAAATGCGTTTATCATGTTCACTAGCGGGTCGACTGGCAAACCCAAGGGTGTCCAATTGACGCATGCCAACTACATGACCCAAATCCTGGCTGCATCTGAAAGACTGGGCCTGCAACGAGAGATAGTGCTACAGCAAAGCTCCGTGAGCTTTGACATTTCACTTGCCCAGATATTCTACTGCCTTGCAAATGGAGGTACACTCATCATCACCGATACTCAGAAGGATCCCGAGGCACTGGCCACGTTGATCAACCGTGAGAAAGTAACGTTTACGTTGTGTGTTCCGTCAGAATATTCAATCTTATTGCGGCATGGCAAAGAGGCTTTGGCATCGTGCAAATCCTGGCGTATTGCGTACGCAGGTGGCGAGGCTTTTCCTATTGGTCTTAAAGAGAAGTTCCGTGACCTTCATCTCGACAATCTCGAGGTTTTCAATGCTTATGGTCCGACTGAGGGAGCTATCGCTACCACCATAGGTGCTGTCAACTACCGAGCCATCAGCGATGAAAGAATCCCTATTGGTAGGAGACTGAACAATTACGCAGCTTATGTGGTTGATGAAAATACAAGGCCTGTCCCAGTTGGCTTTCCTGGAGAACTACTCATCGGTGGACCTGGTATCAGCCCTGGATACTGGGGCAAATCAGAACTCACGAAGCAGAAGTTCATCGCAGACTCTATTTCCGGCTCTGATAAGTTTTCGAAAGGTTGGAAGACCCTCTATCGCACAGGGGATAAGGTACGCCTGCTCGAGGATGGATCTTTGGTTTATCAAGGGCGCATGGAGGGAGACTCGCAGGTCAAACTCCGAGGAGTGCGCATCGAGCTGGAAGAGATTGAGACTGCGCTTCTCAACACCGCCAGCGCCTTACTTTCCGATGCTGCAGTTGTACTCAGAGGAGAAACAGAAAAGTTCTTGGCTGCGTTCGTTGTGTTCTCCGATGGTCATAGGCCTCAAAACTCAACCGAATATCTTCGTTCGCTACGCTCCGCGCTCCCTCTTCCCTCATTCATGAAACCTGCGATTATTAAAGACCTGACACAGCTTCCCATCACGGCTTCAGGAAAGCTTGATCGCCGCGCACTAGGTTCCATTCCCCTTGATGATATTACTGGTGCTGAGGTTTCCGCATCGTTGACGGCTACCGAACAACAGTTGAGTGAAATTTGGGCAATGCTTCTGGTCGATAATGGTGAAAAGCTCAGAATTGAGAAGACCTCCGACTTCTTCTCGGTTGGAGGCCACTCGCTCCTTTTGCTTAAGATGCAAGCCGAGATCCGGGACCGTCTCTCGATTGATCTAACCCTACCTGAGCTCTTCCAAAACAACACGCTCGAGGGCCTTGCATCCCGCATTGATGCAAGCGGTGCCAATCACTCGGCTCAAATTGATTGGGAGGTGGAAACGGCTTTGCACTCCGATATATTGTCCACAGTCGGTGCGACGTTCCCACCAAAAGACACCTTGAAGCCTAAGACTGTCCTTTTGACCGGTGCAACCGGTTTCCTGGGTCGCGCCTTACGAAGCGCGCTGTCCGCTAGCCCCAGTATTGCGAAGATTGAATGTCTGGCTGTCAGGAACCCCAAAACGGCCCAAAAGGAGTCAAATAAGGTATTCTTCCACGCTGGAGATCTCAGATCCCCTCTCCTCGGACTGTCCGCGAATAAAGCAAAAATAATCTTCGAATCGGCCGACCTCATTATCCACAATGGTGCCGATGTCTCGCACATGAAGTCATATCAATCACTTCGCCGGCCGAATGTTGAGTCCACCAAGGAGCTTGTCCGCCTCGCAGCCAATCACAGAATCCCCTTCCATTTCATTTCCACGGCGGGAGTTGCTCAACTGAGTGGCAAGGAATCATATCCCGAAGTCTCTGTTGCAGCCTACCCGCCGCCTACCAACGGAATAGAGGGCTATGTGGCATCGAAGTGGGCCAGCGAACGGTTTCTCGAACGCGTCGCTGCTGAGACTGGAATGCCTGTGTGGATTCATCGACCCACCAGTGTCACGGGTGATGACACTCCGTCAACGGACATCGTCCACACTGTGCTGCGCTATTCTCGGCTGTTGAAGAGCGTTCCGGAACTTCCAGGATGGCGCGGATACTTTGATTTCGTCAATGTTGACTCTGTCGCTCAAGCAGTTGTCCAGACAGCCCTGGCTCATGGTCCCTCCATGACCAAAGACCCCGTTTATGTTCATCACTGCGGAGAGACGGTGATTCCTATCCAGGAATCACGCGTCTTCTTGGAAACAGAGCTTGGAGAACCGATTTCTACTACTAGTATCTCTAACTGGGTTGCTGCGGCCTCGGCTGAAGGAATGAACCCATTGGTAGCAGCATTTATGAATATGTTTGTTGACGGGGTTGCACATTCGCTCGTTATGCCGCGACTGATTAAGGGGGACTCTGGAGCTGGAAATGTTTGAGCTGGAAGTTTGAATCATCTTGAGGCATAGTAAGACCCCACCTTTCACTTGATATGTGTTGTTTAAAATCAGAATGGAATTCATTGTTAATGAGACTTGGTGATTCCTGGGCGTCACTCAGCATCTTTGAAGATATTCAGGATACGTATATACTCACCGTATCCGAGTGAGGGATATTTGATTGCACCAGAAGTGTAGAGCATGTTGTGAGGGCAACAATGACCGACGTTGATATGTCGTTGGCGCATCAGGGTATGAATCGAACAGTAAAAATCCAGTATCGTGTCACACGGATGTGGTATTTTGCAAACTGCATTAATAAAATTGTACTGATGGACTGCCTCTGACCAATTTATTCCTATCCTCCAAATATATCTTCCCGGGTTTAGGCGAAGGGGGCACCATCTGCCTACCACGCGACCAAGAATCAAAGGCCAAATTTAAACCACGAAGAAGCCTGTAAGATCGTGGCCTTCCGCACTATTATCGCATCGCTATGGCCACTCGGAGATCCATTTCCCCCTAGATTTCACGTAAATGCCTCAACAGTTTCTAGCATAATCTTGCCTGTCATTTCTGGGTGCCAAGGTTGAGGTGGATTCTTCGTCATTGCAAGAGCCCGCGACGAAGACAACCTGAGACTATCTGATGCGGTAATAGGCCAGACGGCGACAGAAAGGCACGGTAGACTCTTTAAAGATGACGTTTCCGGCACCAGAAGCTCAGTCCTCACTGGCAGAGTTAGAGATTCGGGAAATTTTCAAGCGGGCCCAGAGGCAACAGTTCACGATTCTTTCCTCGATCAATGAGCTGCCTGCCGTCGTGGATAAGGCACTACAAGCCTGGGCAGCGAAGATGATGGAACGGAAGAGCATCAGCATTGGATGGTTGGCCATGACATAAAAGGCTAGAGCCAGAAACGGTGGTTTTTACGGGGTGACCTAGAAGGGAGAAGGCCAACTACCGCAAAGAAGTAACAGTATCAGAATCGACTCGGTTCAGGCAAACGGAAATGCGCGAGCCATGACTGGTGGTATTTGTGGTGAAATTATTGATTTTTAATACTACGTTCTGATGGAGTCCAAAGGGGTTGATCACAGCTGGCAAAAAAAGTTAATTTCCTAAAAAGTATGACGAGGATTCAAGATGTAGCAGTCTCTCCCTTCTACTCCGTAGTTGAAGCAATAATAGTGTTCCAGGGTCTACAACCAAGGCGGTCAGATGACCAGAGGCTTCAGGACAATGGTCTGCGATAAGCTCTTCACCACGTGATGATAAGACTACCCACGTGATCTGGGGCCGGGATCGTGGATCGCGGAAAAGCATATCGCCGAAAAAAAGTGTCGAGACCAGGCCGCCCTTCGCGATCTCATCTCCATCAATGTACGACGCAAATATGGAGGGAAATACTCAGGCTCGGTTAGGTCATACAGATGGAGGGAAAGAGAGTGTCTCTGTTCCTTTCGCGGAAAAAAAGACCGTTAGCTCTTGGGTGCACCTTCTTGCAGGCGCGTATGTCTTGTCCGGCTGGTATCATCTTGATTCTTCTGACAGCTATCCAGGAGCGGCGGAATGGCTACCGCAATAGTGACTTCTCCCCTCGATGTCTTGCGAACACGTCTGCAGTCCGACTTTTATCAAACCCCGAATAGGGGCACCGATGTCTCTCCTCAATCAAACCAGCTTCCTCAAACATCACGACCTCTTCAACGATCAAATCATAAAACGCTGCGGATTATCAGCTCCATCTATCGCGCTGAAGGCTGGCGAGCATTCTTTCGAGGCCTCGGGCCAAGCATGGCAGGTGTAGTCCCAGCGACTGCAATCAAGTTCTACGTATACGGCAATTGCAAACGTATCGGAGCTCAGCTCATGGGACACAAAGAAGATTCTGCTTTCATCCATGCGCAAGCTGCAATCTGCGCAGGACTAGCAACCTCCACAGCAACAAATCCAATATGGCTTGTCAAAACAAGGTTGCAACTTGACAAAACACAAACGCACACCGGTGGTCCCTCGACTCGACGATATCGAAATAGCATAGATTGTATCCGGCAAGTCATGCGAAATGAGGGATTGGGTGGATTTTACAGAGGATTGAGCGCAAGCTATCTCGGCTCAATTGAAACGGCTTTACACTTGGTGCTCTATGAGCAGTTGAAAACCAGGCTCCACCGGTCATTAGAAGCTACCGAGGGGAAGCCAAGGACTGCCTTCTGGGACGAGGTTTCCCATTGGGTTAGTACGAGTGGTGCCGCGTCTTCCGCTAAGCTTGTGGCAGGTCTAATCACATATCCTCATGAGGTACGTCATTTCAAGGCAATTGTCTAAGTTTCACGCTCACTCACATTCCCAGGTCATCCGAACACGACTGCGCCAGGCACCTATGGAGCGTGGTCAAGCCAAATACACAGGCCTGTTGCAATGCTTCCGTACCATCGCCAAAGAAGAAGGTATGGCAGGTCTGTATGGAGGCCTAGCGCCTCACATGCTCCGCTCTCTGCCTTCAGCCATCATTACGCTTGGCGTATATGAATTTGTTCTGAGAATTACTGGCGCTTAGAATAAGGCACGACTTTGTACACTATCTATAGATCTGGTTCTTCTTGTTTTTTAGGCGGGGAGATCATAGACATTCTTGTATTATATTTGGCGTGGTTCATTACATAATCTCATCTTCCATCCATTCTAGGTCGCCTTGCTTCAGAATACTCCGATATCCTACCGTAGTATCGACAAAGAGTAATCTGATATACGGTTAGAGAGGAAATTGGGTTCAGCAAAATAAGTAACCTACCGTCCTTGGAATTTACTTGCAAAAACCCTAGCCGCATGGAAGCAATTGATCCCAGGAAGATGAAACCACCTATAACAGTTTGACTGGAGATGACTGGTTCCTTGCTCACTCTTCGCAAGCTCATAGCCTCGATCGATAGGAGCTAGAAAGCAAGACTTGCTCCGCAGCAAATTGATGCTATTGTCGACGCAGTCAGTTGAAGTATCAGCTCGGAACCCATCTTGTGAAGTTCGATAACTTGCTTAAGCCGAACGATGTGTCCATGTCGTTGCTGAAATGAGACCAAGCCTTCATTAATACAAATATACAATATCCAGCTTGAAGAATTCTCCCATATTACTCGGCGTGCACCAGCTACATTGACTGTGCTGCCTCTAAGTGACCCGAAGAGTAAGATAAGCCATTAACTTGCGCCTTCTAGTACCTAATATTATTCCTCCCTCCCTGCCATCCGCTCGAACTTATCGGTCAGTATGCTACCAGGGAAAAATATGTCGCTATGATGCCCCAGGTGGAAAAAATGTTGAAGACGTCTGACAAGCGGGTCGGGAGTCGGTTATATGTTTCCAACACCTCACAAATGTCGGGGTTGGGACAGGAAGAAATTGTAACTTTGAGACACTTTCCAGATGATCAGCTGCAGCTGGCCCTCACCGCTTTTAAAGATCACTTGAAGTGGAACTAAGCCATCCATCTGGACTCGATCAGTGATTACACTGTCTTTGCTACAGTCTTCATGCTAACCCTCAAAGGTTCTCTCCACATACGCTGGGACTCTATAAATTTTGTACACCATTATGTATTCTATTCATGTCACCTCCTTATCCAGTCCTAGCTCATACTGCAAATTCTGGACTCCCTTCAACAGCCAGCGAAGCCACCCATGCAGATTTTAGGGCAATCTCTGAAATCGCACTCCTTTGTGAAGTGGAGTATGCCGCCACCAGGATGGTCCTCATCTATTGTCTGGAAACAATTTCGCATAGCCCAAATAGTTTGACACTGCAAGTTACTGTTAGTAGCAGGAAAACAAAATGTGAAGCTTCAATTCTTACCTCGGCATCGCATTCGTCCGATTCAAGAAGCTCATACTGTCCGCCATTCCACATAGGGCCAAGTTTACAAAAGGGCAGGTTGAAACCAGAAAACTGCACCTTATTATTTGGATCTTCGTTCATGTGGTCGATGACTCTGTTAGTGTCCCATTCATAGTACGGTTTACCACCGTTCTTCGAGCTCGCATACTCAGATGCCTTGGCGACAGTCTCGATGGTCAGTCTGTAGTCCCCAAGTTTGTCCACGCCTTTAAGCTTCTTGAACTTGTCTGCCACACCCTTTTGCCAGGGGGTGTCATTCCAGCTAGCATCCCAGCGGAACACAAGATAGGCATTCCCTTCACTATCGCAAAACTTGTTGCCCTTGAAGACGTCTTCGTTTTCACAGATAGGTTTGCTCAAAGAGGGAACGTCGTGGGTAATTTTAATGACGCTCGCGGCTTCTCCTCTCCAGAGCATGGCAATTGCGGCACTGAAGAGGGAGACGTAGATGCTATCTGGGAGGATAGGCGAGGTTATGGGCTCCGCGAAATCACCATTTAGAAGGACGTTTGGAAGAGAGTTGGGATCATCAACGTAATAGATGCCATTGGAACGGTCGTTTGATGGGACTGATGTTAGAAGCCATCGGGTGTATGTCTCAATGCTGTTTTGCATTCCCTCCGAGGCCTTGGCAATATACGTGGTGATATTGGCAAAGTCGTTGAATTTGGGTTCCCTATGTGAGAGAAGAAGACCTATTAGCATTACCCCGAACAGAAGAGACTAGGTCATATTGAGCTTTTGACGTACAACTCAACAGGCTTATTATTGGAGGTAAGGGAGAGAATGCCAGATCCAACGGTCGCAAGGCCTGAACCGAGGCCTCCAACTGCGGCAGCAGGCGGGAAAATTGCAGCAAGACTACCCAAGAACCCTGCAGCCATGGAGGGGCCGGCATTGACGAGAGGCTGTGGTGTTAGTTAGCGCGACTGGCATGATTCTGAAGCTGAGATGGACATCGACTTACGATATTTTCCATATTTGTGGCAAAGTTCTTGACCAAATCAGCAGCAAGGCCGTTAGCCACACCAGCTGTGTGATCTACTGCTTCCAATACAGACACCATCCAATTGTTCAAGTTGGCGATGGACCACATCAAAAAATACAGCCCAGGTCGGCTGCCGGCATGTGGCTCGAGGCATTGGTCCTTGTCCAGGTTTGCGTCACAGTGGCTCATTGGGGAACAATAGAATCCATAAAGGCTAGGCGGGTGATCCCAAGACTGGATCGTCTTTTGAATATCCTTGGTGTAGATGTCCTCTGCATTTGCCCTAGAGTATTTGTTAGACTTGAAGCCCATTATCTCTCGCCCACACTAAGGATAGAGAAGCCGTACGAAACAATGAACCATTCGCCGATCTCCGTCTTTTTCCAGTTTTCCTTGGATTTGCTTTCAATGCCCACGCATGTCTCATTCCACTGCATACGGTCTGATGCCCGCTTTGGCAGTGCGCTTGTTGTCACCACTTGATAACACAGTCGTTAGCTATAAGTATCACGGCATAACATAGAAGGCGAAAGACGCACCAAGTGCCGCTAAAACTCCCGAGATAAAACGCATGATAGCGATTTAATCAGAGTGACAACTAATAGTGTATACTTTTTCGATACAAAAAGCCGGCTTCCTCGACGGTTGTAGTTGATCGGCGCTGTATTTCTGAATATTTCAGGCAAATGGTGCCAATTTATAGATATTATTATAAATGTTCGGCTTTTGGCCCCAACTAAATTTCCCTTCATTCCCTCCTCGTATTACAGGATCGACATGAAGGGCCAGAACAGGATGGAACCCAAGAAGAGCTATGCAAGACCCAAGCACCAGATTACACAGGGGCAGTTCCTTCTTTTGAAAATGGCCCCCCATGGCTACCGGCCTCAAAGCCAGACTATGCTGTATGTACGGAGTAATCATTACGGATATAGGATATAGCATTATATAGGCTCCGGTGCCAAGGCTGCAAGAATGGGGTAATTTCGGTGATAGGTGCACTTCATATCAATCTACTCCGTACTACACAGAAAATTATATTGGTGTTTGATGCAAGCCTCATACGGCCCTGGAGCAATTGCCAAAGAGACCTAGTACATGCAACGTGTTTTCCTCACAGATTCAGCTTCTACTCATCATACCGCCTAGTATTATCACTCTAAGAATAAAGATCTCTGGTCATTGGGCTTTATACGCTCAAAAGCAAGGATTGATATCTTTCCCTAAGCGGAACTTGTGCCAAAGTGTATACCCCTTTCTTTGTGATATATGTGCGGAGTAGTATGTATCATACTCGACCCACTTGTACTTTGTAGAAGCTGAATAATTCAGCTTATGGGGGGAGGCTGTTTTCTAGAGGCTGAAAATCCCCCTGATCTACATTGAGTGTGCACATCCGTAAGGTACCAACGCCCATTCAACGCATGATTGCAATGGAGGAGATACTTGATCTACCTGGGGGCTCGTGCAGAATCAGCACTAGTATACGAATGTTAATTGATCCGCAGAGGCGTTTTGGGGGCGGCAACATATATATTTGCCAAGCGTATTCCATCCTGGCCCTGTAATTTGTAGCCAAGCAAGTTTAGCCTATGAGATCATCTATCAAGCGAAAACTCTAACTACTAGACAGTGTATCTTCTCTTATAGTTGTCGTGGTAGGAAAGCTGAATGAGTGAGGAAGAATGTGACCGTATACTGCACAACGGTTGTGTATACATCGATGTACGTAGTGGGTGTACGGTAGTACCTGCCAAGACCCCCACAAGGGGCTTAGTGGGTCTCTCACGTCTCCCGAGTGTATCCGGACCTGTGACGGCTTCGAAATTCCACCTGCAAAAGTTTCCAGACTCACCTAATTTCTTCTGAAGTCCATTCAAGACACAGGGACTTTCCAATTTTGGAATTTCGGGTTATGCCTTCAAGGGCAGGATATACACAGCCATACACAGGCAATAGGACAATAGAGATCACGTGGACGATAGGGCTGTGTAATATCGTGAACTAGGCCTAAATAGGAAGGTGGATATAGAAGATCAATATCGCAACTTCTTTAACGGAGTAAGCCCTCATGAGTTACAAAAGAGTGCAGGTCATGTCAATCAGGTATGGCTATACAGCATATATGTGCAAATGAACGCCTGTTGTCGCCTCGAGGCGAAATACAGGCACGGACCCCCACTGTTTCAACCCATCCGCCACGCAGCTAAACACCATCCTATCAAACACACAGGCTGACTTACTGTCTAAATTCTCGGATTATCTTTCCGTTTGCAAGGACCAGCTGGAAATCTGGAACCACTTCATGGCCCCGGCCCCCAATGCCAAGAATCTCACGTCCGGGGGCCACGAGATAGACCAGGCTGCAGCCTCGTTCCACAATTTCGACGACAAACAAACTGAAAGTCTAGAAGTTGACACACGATACCACCCAATCAGCTGATTCTTGACAGAATTGCTCTACTCGCTGTTCACAGCAGCTGGCCTGGGTCTGTGATATCAATCAGCTACCCGATGAATACCATGTTTCATCACATTTTCGGCCCTTTGGTGGGTTTTCCATCTATCTCTTTACATATGTATATCTAAATATTTCTTTATTGTACGCTCCAAAGCGATTTCCTCCCTTTTTCTCTGTATTCCCCCCTTTTATAGATTGACCTAATCAGGCAGTGGGTATGATGATCCGAAGAAAGATCGGCGAGTACGAATGGTAGAAGCTCGATAGGAGATAGATGTTCCTTTCTATTTGCATGCAGCCCAATTATGCATGGGTCTGTCGAGGTTGTGTTGAACGCGCTAGGGCGAGTAAATTGCTTTCATTTGCGCCGCCGTCGTGGGTTACAGCGATCGACTTCTTCTCCCCAATCAGTCAATCGTATGAGGCTTGTTTTATCCCCCCTTAACACATTATTGAATTGATCAGAAAGATCATACACTGTGTTTCTGTATAGAAGATGAGCTTCGGTTACAGCGTCGGGGATCTTTTGGCAATCTTGAAGCTCGCTGACGATCTCAAGGAGTGCTTCTCCCAAGCCCCCAAATAGTTCAAGGCAACCTCAGAAGAGTATGATTATAAATTACTCCAGGCATTCGCTGAGTGAAATAAATAATACCGAAACATGGAACAAATATAGGATCAAATGAGTGTGGGTCGGCCTTCATGACATTCATGACATACCCGCCGACGGGTTGAACAAGCAACATGAAGTGGACGTCCAGATAATTTTTAGAAGGCTGTCGAGATGTTCTCAGGGATTTGAACGTGAATTAGGACAAATCCGAGGTTTTGGCTTATACAACCTCCGGTTGGAAGAAGAAGGCACGTCAAGCATGGAGCAGAATCACATGAGATCAAGTGGAGCTTGATAGGCTCTGTAATAGAATAACGTCTACCATATCACTCTTCGGCTTTCTATGATATTTTTAAAGATCTGAAAGACTAACGAGTTGACCCCAACACCCGCGATCCATATCAATTTCTACCGTTGCACTGGGTAGCATTGAATCATAATGACAATCTACTCAAATATCTTCTTGCGAATGGTGCCAATGTCAATGCCAAAGAAGCGTTTGGTCGAACACCAGGATTCTACGCTATCTTTGGAGGCAAGCATTCCTTTGCGGTTGCTTGATTATCCGGACATTGATTTCCAAAGCGCAGACTTATTCGGCGATACGCCACTCAGGCAATCGTAGAAGAGACGACATGATAGAAATCAATGGAAGTTGCATAATCTATTGGAAATCAAAGACAGAGATTACGATGGTTTGTTATAAAACACACAGTATTTCCATTTGCCGCAGTCGCCGCAGTCTACAGTTTGTGATGCATGTTGTCAATTTACCATGTGGCCTCTTCTCCACGAATTGCACTACTACCACACCAAATGGATACTGGAAAGACGCTATGGCAAAATACTATGGTGATTGTATTCCAGGAGAGGAGCCTCGTGCGTGTCTATTGTGCGGCCACGCGCTCAAGAAGTATGGGTTCAGGAGCGAGTCCGATTAATGGCGAAGACTGGACCGGAAATTTGTATGATCATACTTCTATAGCAAACGAAGTCTGAGTGAGCCCAATAATGACAGTAGCTTTACTCACAAGAGCCCAATGCTAGATACGTTGTCCTCAAACAAGTCACTAATAAACCACTACAGAAGAGGTCGACTCAAATTTTGAGTAACATGTAGACAAACAAATGCAACAAAGATGTCATTCTCTAAAACCTACGGGTTATGTGGCCTATAACATATATACTATCTTCTTGGGCTGTTTTTTCAGCGAAACAGTTATTAGTTATCGATTATGCTACTACAAAGTTTTATCCTTGCATCTCTGCTTCCAGATTATATGTTCGTCTTAGGCTCACCTAAATTCGCATCTAACTCACTTAGATTGTATTGAGAAATATAATGAGGGGAGTTATCAGATAATTATCGTCGAGCGAAAACCCATCTTAAAATGAATAACTGTTCAAGAATTCGAAATATTCTGCATGTTCGAGACACCACCACTGTTCAGTTTCCTAAAACATCCTTCTAAAAGACCCTTTATTTTTCTAGGAACCGCTCTGCTCCCCAGTAGTTGTCGCCGAAACGAGCCTCTGTGATTCTCACCGGGGTTCCTGCATCATATGCCTCCACCATTTGTCCCTCCCCGATATACATCGCAACGTGATAGATTGTGCTTGGGTCGCTGACATTGCCCGCATAGAACATCAGATCCGCCGGTTGCAAATCAGCCTTCTCAACTCGAGTGCCGTGACCAGTGAAGTCAGCCTGTGCATCCGCATCACGGGCAATGGAAATGCCATGCGAGTGGTAGAGCGTGTGCGTGAAACCCGAGCAGTCAAAGGCATATCCCGACATACCACCCCAGAGGTAAGGAAGACCAAGGAACAATTTGGCCGTGTTGATCAGATCAACGCTGGTCGGGTAAGGGATGTCCGACGCAGACTTGTAGACGGAAGCGTCATGGGCGGCCAAGAAAGCCGGACGAGAACCGGGAATTGCAACTTCAATGACGGATCCTTTCTCCCTGATGACGGGGAGCCTGGTGTCGTAGCTGATATCCGTGAGCTTCGACTTCAAACCAGGATCGCGGTAGAGCGGAACTGTAGCAGACTTGTCGATTATAGCAAATGGTCTGCTTGATTGCAGCTTTCCGTAGTGATGATCAAACGACACCTGCGACTCAGGAACCCAGCCAGGATATCCCAATTTGTTCTTCTGTGTTGCTTGGCCCGGTACGGCGACTTCGTACCAACCGCCTTGGTGGTCGAGGATTTCCACCCGTGCACCATACAGCGCTTGCGTCTGAGTCCGACTATTACCGGTGAGATCACGGAAATCCGTCAAGTTCATAGAGCTGAGCCATTTCTCCAGTTGCACCGGGTTTGTCAAAGCCGGTTCGTCAATTGCGCGTGGCTTGCTGGAGTCTGTCCACAGTGTTGCGGCAACAACGTTGATGTAGCCGTGCTGCACGGGTGTGCGAGTATCAAGCTTGGGGATCGCATTGGAACTTGGAAGGGCGTTTGCAGCTCCCAAGAGCAGTGCAAGGGTGACTTGTTTTGCAAGAGTTGAAAGCATGATGTTCTGGAAACCCGATTTGATACATGTTCTCAGCGTGCTATACTGTCGGTTTTATGCACGCTACAGCGTTGCAACGGGTATCTAGTAACGGCTGTACCCACTCGGAGAATTGTTGTCGTTCTCCGTACTCTCTCCGACGGCACTTCACACGGGAACTTCCCCACAATAATAAGGCCAAAGTGATTGGTCAAGATCATCGCAGACTCATCGGTGTATCTGCATCTCGTATTGAATGACCGATAAGATATCTGCAACGCTCCGGACTCTGTCCGAAACGTAACGTTCGGACAAACGACATCTCGCTTCAACGGCAGAACAAGTGCGTGATTTAAATTTTTGATTTTCTCTCTTATCAAGGGATTCGGGCGATATCTCAAGCTCCCGTGGCGTAGTTGTCATTCTCTCTTTCCCTCCATGAATCGCTCGGATACAATCGCGACACACTGGCCACCCGGGTCATTGTTGTGTGAGGATAACACGAATGCGAATCAAAATCAGGTGATTGTGTTCAAGGCACAAAAAGCGAGGTCATGGAATCCTCTCAGGCTTGTCGCTATTGGCTCCATCTCTATAGTATTATGGGTTGCGATAAGAGCAAGAGGCCTGATACAGCATCAAGATATTGATCCATTGGACTTTGCGGCTCGAACGACCAAGGTGTTGTCGGAGATACCTCTCATAGACGGACATAATGATCTGCCCTTTCTTGTTCGACTTCAGCTCAACAACCAAATTTATGGCGGCAATCTTCCATTTAGTCAGGGTATGGTTTCCACGTCAACTGATAGTGCCATAAAATTTCGATATTGACGGTATTGCAGGACTCGCATCTCATACGGACCTCAAGCGGCTGCGGGAAGGCAAAGTGGGTGGGCAGTTTTGGTCGGTCTTTGTAGAGGTAAGTTCGTTGATTATTGGGGCCCGCAATATTTGGGACTAACAGCGAGACCAGTGTCCCCAAATACTTCATCTTGATGATCCAAATGTAATGACCACTTGCAATCCTTTCGGTTGAAGAATGGTATTAACGATCCAATTTATAGCATAGCGTTCGGGATACCCTTGAGCAGATTGATGTGGCAAAACGCTTGGTAGCGGAATACAGCGCGCTGCAATACTGCGAAACAGCAGCATGTGCTCGAAAAGCATTCAAGTCGAAGAAAATATCTTCCATGCTCGGTGCTGAAGGACTTCACCAGATCGGTTCATCCATTGCCGTAATCCGGCAAATGTACGATCTCGGAGTGCGCTATATCACTCTAACTCATAATTGCGACAATCCATTTGCAACTGCAGCCACAACAGTGACCAAAACAGGCAAGGACAGTGGACTGAGTGATTTTGGACGTGATGCGATCCGTGAAATGAACCGACTGGGCATGATGGTAGACCTCTCCCACACATCTCACCGAACAATGCGAAATGTCATCGCTGTGACTCGGGCACCGGTGATATTCTCTCATTCGGCGTGTTATGCACTTGCCAAGACCTTGAGAAATACCCCTGACGACGTTCTTCGCATGCTCCCGCACAATGGAGGTCTAATCATGATATTCTTTGCGAACAAATTCATTCGCCCCGACAATCCGGAAAAGGCCGGTTTAGAAGATGTGGTGGATCACATCTTTCATGCTGCCACCGTCGCTGGCTGGGATCATGTTGGAATTGGTGAGATATCCGTGGTAATTAAGAAAGCACATTCTAACTCGACCTAGGCAGTGATTTTGATGGGACACCCGGAGTTGCTAATGGGATCGATGATGTCTCGGCATATCCGAGGCTCATTGAAGCTGTGATGCGACGTGGTGCAACCGATGAGCAGGTGCGAAAGCTGGTGGGATTGAATATTCTGCGTGTTTGGGAGGAAAATGAGATTGTGTCGGCTCAGATACGGGGTGAGATGGATTCACGACCTGTGGAGAGTTATTGGGAGGGAAGAACACAACCCACTTGGGATGGTCCATTACCTTCATTGAAGATTGATAAATCATAAAAAAAAAATATTTTTTAAATAAAATCTCTGTCATTTCGGTCTTTCAACATGAAAACATGAAAACATTCACACGCTCTCGGATAAGGAGAGAGGTCCCCGCTTCTCATTTCGCCCCCTTCCAATTCTTCTACGTCTGAAGATGTCCGTTTCAAAACCCTCCAGAGCACAGCGACCACCAAGAGTTGCATCCTGTGAGCCCTGTCGACTGTCTAAACTAGCTTGTGATCATAGGCACCCTTGCGCTCGATGTGTTGGGCGCGACATCCCCCATGAGTGCGTCTACAGAAAGAATGCATTCAAGCGGAGTCGACCCTCCCTCACAGCCCAATCCTCGGGGATGCAGTAAGTGGTTCTAATTTGACCAGTCTAGCCACTATCCAGTTGTCTGACGATAATCCCAGACAGCTGTCTTTTAGCTCTACATCCATGCTGGAAGCTATTCGGCCAACACTCCCACCAAACAGACACCCAAATACAGGCTATCAGGGCTCTTCTTCTTTGGATTCACTATTGGGTAACGTCCGCCAGCAAACCATGTTGCTTGGGAATCTGGAGGTTAGTTCGACCTTGCTTCCGGTCGGGCGGGATGATGAGGGGCCAGCTTATTCTACGGCTCATTTCATGAACAACGCTTCGACAATTGAGGGCGCACAGCTGTTGGAAGCACTTGTCAGCTCTAAAATACATAACGTCATTGAGCGTTTGTTCGTTGACTGGAAGGGAAATGGACTCGAGTCGCATGTCGGCGCATTCCTCATTCAGCCATTCGCTGATGCAATCATTAAAGAAATTGTCACCTTACAGCAGTCGGAAAATTTACGATCTGATCTGTTGGCCTTATCGCAGCGTCTGTTTGAAAATAGTAGTCGTGCTGTGGATATACATCGTTTAATGACGCTACAAGGTTTCATCGACCAGTATACAGGTCCGAATCTCCGCTGGGAGACAATGGGAGTAATCCTGACACTTGTGGGGTATGCTTGCTGGAATATGAGATTGCTGTTCCTCTAGGATATCAAGACTGACGAGCGACACAGTATTGCCGCAACTGAGTTTCGTGCACCATATACTCTGTATCGAACAGAACAAGAACGACAAACCCTGAAGATGAACCTGATTCAATTTGGAAACAGATGTGCAATATTTTGCGAGGCATTGGACGTCCTCAATGACGTTCATATCCTGTTTCTGTATCAGACATTCCAGGTGCAGTCTGTCTTTTACGGAGATCAAAGTACGCTACAATCCCCTTTCCGCCTTCTTATGCATCAAAATGACAATTTGGCAGGTCTTAAAACATGGCGCCGACTCAACGACGCCGCCTGTGCTCTACTTGCCGCTGGGCTTCACGAGAGCATCCAAGAAGCGTGCGACATTCCGTTCTTTCTGCTTGAAGTGCGAAAGCGTATCTTTTCCCGCTTATACAGTATCGATATCAGCTTAGCGACATTTCTCGGACGGCCACCGCGTATGAGCAAGAATTTTTGCCGTATCAACCTGCCCCTTGATATTGACGAAAACTGTTATTCTCTCTCGGACTCTGCTCTGAGTGCAGAGCTGGAAAAGCTTGACCACGCTGGATGGAATTCGGAGGGTCACATTCGACTGAGCGCCGTTATGCGATGGTCAACCGTTACGGCAATGATTCGAGAAGAGACATTGGAACTACTTCTGGGCGGGAACATATCTAATATGCAAAGGCGGATAATGTGCGTCACTTGTCTCAATTCATACAGCCAATTAACTCATCGTTCACAGTAACCTACACCACGAAATCAACGAAGCATGGGAGAATCTCCCGTCCTTTCTCAGGGTCCCATCTCATGAACTTTGGGATATCCAAAGGCCCCGCGCAGAAATGGAGTGCCTACACATGATTCGGCTGCTATATCTACAGTCTGCATTTTTGATCGAATGGGCAGCATGGCGCCATGGAATTCAACAGTCAAGCTTATTCCGATCGGCATTGGAACTGATTTGCTCGGTCAACGATGCCTTGATCCGACGCGAACAACTGCCAAACCTTGGCTTTATATCCCTAGCCTGGAGAGTATGTACCCTGAACAATTTACGAGATTTTGGTGAGCTGAGTAGATAATATAGGTTGCATCGTGTGCGCTCCCAGCGGCCGGAGCCCTCGCACTATACCTTCTCCAGCCGTCATCCCGGTGTCGGTTCAAGGAACTAGATCCACCGTCTCGACGTCGAGTAATCGAGAATCTTTCTGTTTTGATCGCGCACATGGATATTCTACATAGTCCCAGTGACGGGAATTTTAAATTGTTTTCTCAGGCCAAACGCTCTCTGCAGTCTGTTGTGGACATGCTATTACAACCGCTGAATACACTCGGAATGGAGGCATCATCTACACAACTAAATACCCAGTTACCCCCCGCTGACTGGATGGTGCCTGATTATTGTGGATTCGATGGGGATTTCTGGTAAGTCGACACACCACACTCCATGCCTGGTTCACGCGCTAAATTTTTCATAGGGCGCATTTCCCTGATTGTCTCTATACAGAAGAAAATAGTGATCATGCACTTGTATGAGAAACCAATACTGCCGTTTTAGCCTTTTCTGCGCTTGTTTTGCTGTTTTCGTTGTATGCATCTTCGTCTGACTATATGAAGCCACTGAATGCCTCAAGTTCGTCGACCACACCATTGCGAATACCATTTCTGCCTACTTTTCTGCAACCATTGTCTTTACCTTATGTCTCTTTCCTATTCTCCATTCACCACATACGACCATAGGGTGTGGAAAACAGGGCTTCCCGTCCGCTCAGCCGTACTTAAGCCACACGCCGGTGAGTTAGTAGTTGGGTGGGTGACCACCAGCGAATCCTCACTGTTGTATGTTTTTGCTTTCTTTTTTTTGTTCCTGGCCTAACAGAACTGTATAATCTAAATTTTTCAACTTGAGACCATCTGTCATAAATCCCTAAGGGAAGGCCGGAACTGGGTGAACAGGACAGCATTATTAAGAAGACAGACGGAAGAACCAATGATTTTGTCGGAGGATAGAGAGAGCAAATATAATGTACCAAATCAGGTCTATATATGATCCTCGAAAACAACTTATACCCAGCCAAGAGACTACCTTCGAAACCCATATCCTAATTGACTTGCCACCATGGTATATTGCTCTAATATGATTGAGCAAGCTGGAAATAGTCTGAACTTCAGAGTCAAGCCCTCATAGCAATCTAGAAGACATTGCAGAAAATATGAGAAGCTTTGTCATGTTAATGCTAGGACCGAAACTGTATTACCACTACGGTTACGTCAAGTCTCTTGGATTGCATTTAGGGATCTTGAAATGGGCTTCGTATTTCTCTGGACAGAGTCTTTCTGGACATCCATAAATGTAGTGTATGAATGTAAAGTATGGAACCTATTATGGGGTAGGGTTGTGGTTATCCCATGCATACCTCAGGCACATAATAGAACCGAGGTTTCGGAGAGAACCTGATCCCGTTACCGGAGCCTCGCTCAATGGCCCCTTCAGGGCTTTTCTTTTTAGTGCCACCTAATCAGGCAGGAAATTATCAGAACCTGTTATCAATGCATCCTGAATCGTGAGGTTGCAATCAGAACTCATTGGCAGCTTAAACCCGGTGTGCTGGTACTGGCCAGTCCACGATAAGACAATCAGCGTCTCTCTCCGACAACACTCCGAAGGAATGCTTGTTCTACAAATCAAAATAAATTAATTATGGGCCCCAATGATAAGAATGCTTATCCCCCGCGCTTGGGTGCATGGCATTAAAAGAGTCAATGTTACCCACTTTCTTTGTACTGATCCTAACATTCTACCTTCTCATTTGAAAGTCCATCCGTGAAAATGGAGTTCCCTTTGGACGAAAAAAAGGCCTCTTTCGTCCCCGGATCCCCCCGAGAGTCGGTGTCAAGCAACCCAATCAAACCACAGGCTCGTGAGGCTTATGATCCAACTGTTACCTTTGAGGAGTACCATTATTACTCTAAGAAGACAAGAGCGGAGCAAGACCTTCTAGAGCCTCCGGCGCTCAATGTGCTACAGCTTCTCACAGGGAAGAAAAGCGAGGAACCGGTTTCGACTTTGACCGAGAAAGACTTTTCAGATCCCGAGAGGAGACTTGCCATTACAGATGAGGAATGGGCAAATGCAAGCCGTTCGCTTAGGTCTGCTTCATGGGGTGCCTGTAAGTCACCAAGTATATCTTATCTTACATTGGAACTCAGGGCTCATGATATTGTCAGGTTTCTATTTGATTACCACGGATATTTTAGGCCCATTCGGCTCGGGCTATGCGATGGGCACATTAGGTTGGAGAGCAGGTGAGATCCGTTCATTCTTGTACATCTTGAGGGACTGAGTTGACTGATCGGGATACAGGCATTGCCTTCTACACTGTTTTCGGATTCATGGCGGGATACTCTGGGTATCTCCTTTGGCGCGTCTACCTTGGCGTGGACAGCTATCAATTCCCCGCCAAGAACTATGGTGATCTCGGATTCAGGACTCTTGGTCGGTTCGGCCGCCATCTTACCAATGTCTGCCAGGCAATTTCGTTGCTCTTACTCGTGGGCCAAGTCACCATCGGTTTCGGCCAAAACCTGTCTCAGGTTTCGCAGTTCCGGCTGTGCTATGTTGCCTGCCCGGTCATCTTTGCTTGTGCTGGTTTCTTTATCTCTCAGATCAGAACTCTCAAAGCATATGGCTGGGTTGCAAATTTCGCAGTGTGGATGAACCTGTTTGTCATCTTCATGTCGATGGGTGTGATGGCGGTGTCTGAACCGAACTACAAAATCTCTACCCTCGGGTCTGCTGGCAGCGTGGTTGACAGAAGTACGATCACACCCGACAAGGATGGTAACTACCCGCCGATCATGCATTACAGCTATATCCCTCCAGGAAAACTCATTGGATCCGTGAATGGCATGCTTTCTGGTGTCTTGGCTTATGCAGGTGCACAGCTGTTTGTTGAATTCATGGCCGAAATGCGCCGGCCTCGAGACTTTATCAAGGCCATGTGGGGAGCCCAATTCTTCATCTACAGCGTCTATCTCACTTACGGCTGTGTGGTCTACTATCTTCAGGGACAGTACAGCTACAGCCCGAGTTATCAAGGTATCAGCATTTACGCATGGCAGACTGTCGGAAACATGGTTTCTTTGGTTGCTGCTCTCATCTGTGCAGGTCTGTACGGCAACATTGGAGTCAAGATTGTCTACAATAACATCCTGATTGATATTTTCCGTTTCCCTCCTCTCGACACGCGCGTTGGCAAGATTGTCTATGCTTCTCTTGTCCCAGCCTGGTGGACAATCGCATTCCTTATCGCCGCAGGCGTTCCCGATTATGTTGGCTTCGTCAGCGTAATTTCTGCTTCCATGCTCCTGAACTTGACATTTACCATGCCTCCGGTGTTTGCCCTTGCATTTGATATCCAAAAGAATGCGATTCGGGCGGAGGCTGGTGAAGAATTCAACCCGACGACTGGAGAGGTGCTCCGGACCGAAACGGCGGCAGCAAGATGGATCCGTGGCTTCTTCTCTGGTGGTCCTTTCCAAATCGCAATCAACGTTTGGCATGTTTTGTTCGCCCTGGCATCACTCTCGATGTGTGGGCTGGGCATGTGGGCGGCCATCGTCGGTGAGTACTATTACTATCTTACGGTTCACTTCATACTAATCTCTCTCCCAGGAATGATTGAGGCCTTCGAGCTCCCGCAGCTGAACTCGTTCTCTTGTGTCTCGCCACTCAATCTGAACTAAGGCAGACTCTCTAATCCAATGGATCTGATTTGAGTGTAATGCTTATACAAGGATTCAGTGACTATTATCACCCTTCATTTGATTTATATTAGTTCAGACCATCAACACCAGAAATATTATTGTATAATGTTGCTTGACTTTCCTCCCACTTACATAGAAGTAATTTTGTACTGCCCACTACGTAATACCAATAATATTAGCTTATCTGAGGGTGCGCTTTGAGTCACTCATTGTTGGTATCTATCCATCTGAACATACCATCGCTGACTATACTGTCAGGCCTGGCTCTACCCGGGGTTTTACACTGATGCGCAACTATGCCAACAAAGCTCCCCTTTATATGCAACAAGCTCATTGAGTTAATCAAGACAAAACAAATTTTATTTGCTTCCAACGTATGTATCACAAATAAGAAGAAACATTTATCTCCCGTTGTTTGCCAAAATACCTCTTCCTTCCCAAAGTTATATTCCACCTTCAACAACCGATGAAGTATTGCGTTTCCAAGCTGCTGCAGGGGCTGATCAAGCCATTTGATCTGAGCTTAGATGTAGCTCACGGTAACACTGCTGCTAGTAATAGAAGACTTGGTCAAGATGCTGTTGCTCTGCTTGATGTCGATGAGAGTGGATCCAGAGGGGCCAACAGACTTTCCACCAGTCGTAGCCTTTGCGTTCGTGAAAGTCACAGTTCCAAAGTCGACAAAGGGAACCAGCTCGCCATTGCTTTCAAAGTCCTCGACAATCCATTCAGCATTGTACTCGCACAGATCCCCATCATTCCCACCAGTGAAAGTATGGGTAACAGATTTGCCTGTAGTCACATTCTTGACGACAGCAGTACCGGCAGTCTTGGACTTGGCGGTCACAGTAACCTCAATCACATCTCCAGCGGAGATTGAGATGCCACTGAAGTCGTAGGCATAATCCGGATACCACTCGTACCAGGCATCATACGAAACTGTGCTTCCTTGGATGCAGAAATCAATTCCAGTCTGGAGAATGGCAGTGCTGCAAGTGTCACCGTCGATGCCGACCCAGGCGGAGGCACAGTACTGCTCGCTGGACGAGGCACCCGAAGGAAGTTTCGGGGTGGGAACGGTGAATTGACCGGTGACAGAGGTGTATCCGGTGCCAATAAGGACAGCACCGGCCCAGTTGGTGCTGTAATCCTCGTGGGTGGTCCGGTTCAGAGAAAGAAGCTCTCTGGTGTCTGGCTTGTAAGGAGGACGGCTGATTCGGCTAGCTCTGCCATCAGCGCGGGCAGCGTTGCGGGCTGCGCGGCGTTCGGTGAGAGGGGCTGCGATGGCAGACGTTGTGAGCAGCGCTGCGCTGAGGATAGTAGCCGAGAACTTCATTCTGTGAGGTAGATGATGAAACTGTTTGAGGGAAAGAAGTAGATTGACTGTGTGGATGTCAAAATAACCCTAGGGAAATTGTCCGTTTATATAGCCATGTTGTATAGTTATAGCTTCATTGGAAATTGCAGGACAATCATCTGGAAGCACTCGAGCTAATGCGCATTCATTGCGTATCTTGTTCAAATGTAACATCGCCATCTTTGAAGAAGCAGAAGAATGCCTCATATCTCCTGATGCCGTCGGAGACCGATGCATAAACTCAGGATAGACTGTGGGCTGAAGAATTTCACTTTAACCAGGTCACTACTCACAACTTCAGGGCAGAGATACTTCGGTTGCTCGGGGCTATTTTGTGCATCGCATCCACTCATACTCAGCAAAGACCAGGGTATGAATCCAATAAAGTTGTCTGTCTTCCGTGCACGCTAAACTGATCCAAGCTCCAACCCTCCGGATTTCCGACGGAGCCTAGAGAAGTTCCAAGCCAACATAGCTTAGACTGATGAAGTGAGGAGAAGTGATATAGATTAACCAGTGGCATGGAGATGCAGAATGTTAACTCAAAACCAATAAGGAAGTGATCGCTCTATTCAGGGCGCACCGGTGACAATTCTCAGTAAGCAATAGCAATTTGATGTGACTGTGGCTTAGAAGCCAATATAGACTTGTTGTCTAGCCATTAGCCTGTCAGTGATAAGAGTGCCAAGCTTTCGACAAGCAACAATGCCCAGGAGAAAAGACGGGAGAAGTGGATAATTGTGGACTTTTGAACAGCGTGGATGCACGTATTTACTCCTAGATACTATTGATACTCACAATATAGCTAGTCACACAGGATGTGTCTGGTGTGCGAGTATGTATAATATGAACAGAATCTTGTCTCCAGGAACAGGATATAATCATATTTCCCACCTAAACTCACCTCGTAAGAAGAAATATCCCCCGCGTCGGAGTTCTCGGGTGACTCGTGCGGACTTTGCGTGCAGACAAGCTAGTCGACGCTAACTTCATTCGATGGTAATCTCCGAATCTCAGCTTGAAACTATTGGATAGTGATGCCGCAATTTCTTTGGGAACAAAATATAAGATTCGAGGTGAGTTATGCCTATATGAAGAGTCCAGCACAATTCACTCAAGCCCCCGGGTCCTTCAAGCCACGGCGCTTGAATTTTTGTCTATGTTTTAAACCACCTGGGAGTTGGTAGCATGATTGTCTGAGTCTTATCAAATGGATACGATTTGCTACAGCTTGCCCATAGAGATCCGCTCACTTTGAACTATTGCTAATAAATCCGCCTATCTCCGAAGGGTTGTTTCCCCGATATCAATGTGTCATCGGGATAAATATAGCAGAGAAAACCCCCTCGTGGACTCTCGCATGACTTGGTAGTTGAAAGAGCTTGTTTGCCTCTGGTGTTGGAATAGGAAATAGGTGACTCCACAAGCCTTATTGAACACTGTTTAAGGATAGAGTCTCAATAGTGCCGCCAGGCGCGCGAGTGTCAGGAAGTCTATTGATCTTTGTTCTCAAAGGTCTCTCTCACTTGTCAATTAATTTCTTTCAGCTCTCTCCAGAATTTGGGGTCTTGCTCTGTTCTATATTCTTCCGAATCGGACTCCACACATTCTCTATCAAGACTTCCGTTGCTTTTCCTTTGGATTGTAGCTCTTGCTGGGTCTAAATCCTGATGTGAGTGACTATCATTTACTGGGGCTTACAGATTGATTATATTCCCACCAATGCTACTCAATATTGAACACCCTGTTAACGGCACAAAGGGTAAACCATAAATGTTGTGATGTGGGATTGGATATCGTCTTTGTTGAAGATTCATTGTTCATATTCATCAGGTAGAGCCTCGCAGGGCCCCCGGGGTCTGCAGTTGAACAATGAAATTAACTCGGTGATTCATGTTTCAAGTGCATGTCTCGAAGGTGCCCATGCTAATGAAACTCGGTCATCTCGAATTTCGTTTTTTCCCCTGGATATTCAAGTATTTATAAAGGATGGTCTAATCTCCTCCCTGGAATATTTGCATCCAAGGGTCAATGCAATGAATTCTATCCGTATCCTTCTCTCCCTGCTGCTTGTCCATATTGCAGCAGCCCATTTTGGGCATGCCGCTGAAAATTCTCATAGTCATTCACTCCCCAAGCGCGCTGCATTCGCGCCGGGTGGTGATGGTGTCTGCCACACCTATATAATTCAGGAGGGTGAAACCTGCGCAAAGCTTGCTGAGCGCTATCAAATTACGACCAGCAATATCGAGACTTGGAATACTGGGGCCTGGGGCTGGTCGGGGTGTGCCAATATCAAGCAAGGCGATTTTGTGTGTCTCAGCTCCGGTACCTTTCCTATGCCGGTTGCTCTCCCACGTGCTATCTGCGGTCCTCAGGTTCCCGGGACAGGGCGCCCTGGCAAATATTCAGATCTCGCCTCTCTAAATCCATGTCCTTCGAATCAATGCGTGAGTTCAGTAATTATCCAAATTGCCCGTGATCTCTTCTAACTACATCTTCAGTGTGGTGCCTCGGGTCAATGCGGTACTAGCTCGAGCTTTTGCGATGTGAGCAAAGGGTGTCTCTCCAACTGCAGAGTGAAGAGTACACTGAAGGAAACTACAACTAAAAAAGCTACTTCAAAGGTCTCTTCGAAAACGACCGTGGCAAAAACCACTTCGAAGACAACTTCCAACACTACTGTGCGAAATACTACTGTAAAAAAGACTACCACTTCGAGTACCAGGTCAAAGAGTACCACTACCACAAAACCACATACTACGGAGAAACCGAAGGTAACCACGACCAGCATCAAATCAATCAGGACATCACAGACCAAAACCACAAGCAGTTTCAATCCGGCACACAGTTGGCAGATTACAATCTATACAGACGACAAGTGCAAAGGTGATTACTTCACTGTCGACGGACACGAATCAAAGACGGCCGGAAACTGCTTGGTTTTCAAGGACAATAAACAGACCGAAATTGCGGATACGAAGACATCATGTCGATGGTGGACTAATCGTGGGCTTCATTGGGACACCTGTTCCACCAGTAAGCTCGTAGCTCCTAGGTCATGGTATATCACACAAGGCCAATGTTTGTTCTTCAAAAACAAGCACTGCAAGGATGAGGATTGGTTAGGACAGACCTATCCGCCCGAAAAGGGCTGTCAGTCTCGCTCAAGTGGGTATTTGTCTCCTCAGTTGAAAGGATACATGGTTACTGGAGCTGGGGATTGGGGTTCAATGCAGTGTTTCTATCAAGAGAAGTGGACGTAAACGGGTTTGTTTGGGTTGCGTCGGGAGATCTTCAAAATATATAACCGAGAGCCGATTTCCCAGATCCCAAGGTTGCTCCTATCACACCCAGACTCTTTTAAAACCTACGTATATAATGGAAAAGGGAAGCGACAACCATAAATCATTCGAGACAATTGATAATGAGGAGAAAAGAAACAAAACACTGCTGATTAAGTTTTTGCTCATAATGTCAAATCAAGTATATATCTTCATCAACCAGCCAATGGTCGAGTTAACTCGATCACCGTCTTCCTTGGTCTAGTGGTGATGATTTCCGCTTGTCATTAAAACCGATAAGCGCGGGAGACCGGGGTTCGATTCCCCGAGGGAGAGATTTCTTTTTTGCTCTCCATTTTCTGTAGCAATGGGAACTAGTATCAGCATTATCCTGGTTGCCCCAATTCCCTTTTCCCCTTTTTTTTTTTTTTTTTTTTGTGATCCAGTGTTGTATGTAGCGTTTTATACCTTCATATACCTAATCAGCGAACATATACAATGAAGTATTCAAATAGTATGCAAATAATATTGTAGTTGCAAATTTTATGGAGACAACGAGTGAAAGCAGAAAAATGTCAATAGGAGAAACGCCCAGAGATGGAGAGTCTGGATCTATACGTGCTTAACCCGTTCCTGCCATCTGCGGCCCTTTCTCTGTTCTCTCAAACCCCAAACAGATCGCAATTGCTCTCATCCCTGAAAGATAACTCATTCCGATCTTCTCTTTTTATCCGTGATTATCTTTTGTCCATGCCAAATAAAGTCAGACTCGTTTTCGGATGTCCTTCACGGTAAAGCCCAAGCACATCTCAAAGTGACCAGCCATGGAATTCTGGGTGGACTGGGAGCTATGGGAGAAGCTGAGCGTGGTAAGTAAACCACCTATAATCACGGACAATCCTTCCTGACCATTCTCATTGACAGGTACTAGCCATGCTGATCGTATGTGACTCCTTGAGAATGCCAAAAGCACAACTGACAAGCTTTGCAGGGCCTGGTGCTCCTTTATGCCTTTTGCGTCCTCGGCTGGAATCGCTGGATGATGAGCAAATACGCCGCGGCAGAGGCGAAAGAACGAGAGGAAGAAGCTGAGGTGTACCCAATGCTGCACAAGGATGACATCCCGTTCGGCGCCAGAGCTTTGGAAAGAGGAATAGAAGTTGAAGGAATCTGGGTCTCAGATCCTAACACGCCCACACAAAGCCCATGCCAACCTGCAACTCCAGTTGATAGTCGGCCGGTCACTCCAGCGCCAAGGGTGCTGCAAAGGACTGTTGACACCCCCATGTCCTCAACGGGATCTCAGAGACCCATGATCAGCCCACAGCCTATCCCACCGGCTGCCCGACGTGCAGTCGTTTCCGAGCTCGATCTAGCCTCCGCAGGCTTCACCTATGAGAATCAACGACCCGGTGCACTCTATAGTCGAGCCAGTCTACCCACGCCGAATGCCATTCGCATATCGCCTGCACGAGAGGAGTCTCTGATCGGCATGAATGACACAACAACCAAAAAGCGTGCTAGCCTCCCTATGAGAATATTCGGTGCAACATCTCATCCCGACACAAAGAACTACCAAGTAGGATTGGATGGTGCCGATGAAGAAAAAGACTATGTCCCCGTTTTGAGTTCGTCCTCTTCTGGTCTTTCGTCGGAGACCAAGCGGAGCTCACAATCTATGAGTAAGTCAAACTCCATGATTTGGGGATTGAAACGGAAAACTAATGTGCCTCAATTATAGAACGTCCTCGCCGGCGGTCATCCGAAGAGTTCCGACGCAGAATGAGCCAGATATTCAACGACAATATCCAAACGGGACCGCCATCCGAGCAACTGGAGTTCAATCCGGCTCTGCGCCAGTATCAGAGACGATTTCGGAGGTCATTGCTTCGTCCTTTCCGTCCGTGGGTTAACTCTTCCGGAGCTCAGCAGTAGGTTGGTTCTCAAAATATCATTGTCTCGCCAGGAAACCGAATTGATCGGGATAAACCTTGAAAGACCTTCAGTACCTGCCTTTGCTCGGACATTTAGCATTGGTTTTGATCTGGTGTTGCGGCAGCTCATGGGTAGATTTCCACTCGGGTTTTATGGCTCAGAAGAACATTGCGAGAATATGTTTTGATGGACTGATGGGGTTTCAGCATGCAGTGCTTTGCAGGATTTGTATTCTTACACTTTTCATTATTGCATATCAAACAATTGGCATTCGATCGACAGAGCGTACAGCAATTGACCCGATTCATTGAAGACCCTGAGCACCTACATGAGTTATAAGAATAGATAGATTCATGCACTTCCATGCTTTTTGCTCCCAAACCGGAATGGCCCAAGGCAGCACTCCACGTGATCTCGCGATCCATTTGACGCGTCCACTTTTGTTGACTTGGGAGTCATCCTGAGATTTTTGCCACAATCGGATGATTCAGACCCTTCAAACCTTTTACAATCAGAAGCTTCCTGCTTGCTTGTTGATAAATTGAGATCTGTGGCTTCGTTTGGTATTCAAATCGAGGTACTCATCTCACCCAAACGCGTCTTTTGAGTGGATACTCATCCGTGTTTTCGAGTCGAGAGACCCTGCCAAACAGGCATTAACATCCTGATAACATTGAAGACTGAAGCATATTACTGCTAGTATGGAGGGAGAAGAGCAATTCGATGAGAATGGGCTTCCTGGCCCCGGTGCCCCAACCCCACTTTCTGCGCTCGACGTGAGTGAATGCCAGGGCGATCTGCTTTCGCTGCAGACAGTGGGACTTTCATACTGAATTTTCTCTTATAGGGTGTTTCCGGCTTGACTGCTAGGGATATCAAATTGTTCGTGGATGCAGGGTACAACACTGTCGAGTCTATCGCATACACGTACGTATCCATCAGCTACACATTCATTGCGGCTTTCTCCGGCAATAGCTCTGCTATACCCATCTCCATGCTCATATCAATCCAGCTAATACGTATCCATATAGGCCTAGGCGGTTGTTGGAACAGATTAAGGGTATCTCAGAACAAAAGGCCACCAAGATCCTAGTAGAAGGTAAGCCATCTTCTACGCTAGACTACAGATTTACATCGGAGATTGGCTTGCTAATGATAACGCGCTAATTAGCTTCAAAACTGGTCCCTATGGGATTCACCACGGCAACCGAAATGCACGCCCGGAGAAGCGAGCTCATCTCAATCACAACGGGATCTAAGCGACTTGACACATTACTTGGGGGTGGTATCGAAACGGGCTCGATCACTGAGATTTTCGGAGAGTTTAGAACGGGAAAGAGTCAGATTTGTCACACTCTCGCCGTGACCTGCCAGCTACCTTTTGATATGGGTGGTGGTGAGGGCAAGTGTCTTTACATCGATACAGAGGGGACTTTCCGTCCAGTACGATTGCTTGCGGTCGCACAGAGATACGGTCTTGTTGGCGAGGAGGTCTTGGATAATGTTGCATACGCACGAGCATACAACTCGGACCACCAGCTCCAACTGCTCAACCAGGCCTCTCAGATGATGTGTGAGACGCGATTCTCTCTTCTGGTGGTTGACTCGGCGACGTCTTTGTACCGAACGGATTTCAACGGTCGTGGTGAGCTTGCCTCCCGACAGACCCATTTGGCTAAGTTCATGCGTACGCTGCAACGTCTTGCAGATGAGTTTGGTATTGCGGTCGTGATCACGAACCAGGTCGTTGCCCAAGTCGATGGTGGCCCCAGTGCCATGTTTAACCCAGACCCTAAGAAGCCCATTGGTGGTAATATTATCGCTCACGCCAGTACCACTCGACTCAGTTTGAAGAAGGGCCGTGGGGAGACTCGAATTTGCAAGATTTATGATAGCCCTTGTCTTCCAGAGAGTGATTGCCTTTTCGCCATCAATGATAATGGTATCGGTGATCCCAGTGAGAAGGATCTGGAAGATAAGTGAGCCAACCTCTCAAGGTTGAGCTTATTTTGTTCTGCGACACGATGTTATTGACTTAATGAGCATTACATTCAAGAGCTGTTTATGTGGGTTAAAAGGGCCCTGTTGGCATCTCAGCGCTTGAGGGGGATCTTTTTTCTTTTTTTGATAGCAGCGAGTTTAGAACGCATAAATTTCTCTTTATTCTCAATTGAATAAGTCATAGTACAATAATAAAATCTATAGAGTAAAACACAAACGTCGCGAGAGCCATCAATCTCAGGCCCATCGCGCCAAGACTTCTGTTTTTTGAGAGCTCCAGCTTCCCGCCCTTCGATCTTCCAACCTTTCTACTTCCCCGGCCATGGAGTGTTAAGTTGACACACGTCAATCGATCATGGCGAAAATTTACAAAGACTCAAGGGTCGACCTCAGGCCCTACTCGCCGACCACGATCGCCAACATCCAGATCCCGACTCAAGACACCGCGGTCCGTCGTCCACGCTTTTCGATCTCATCCACCTCCGACCAGGAACTTCCAATCGCCAAAGATGAAGATGAATTCGCCAGACGCCACCTCGCGACACAGGGTAAAATCTACTTCCGAAAGCGCAGGGTGTACCCGAGGACGTTCTTGTGGAGGGTCATCAATGACAACAGAGTGCTGGAGATCCAGTGCGCGGACCTGACAAAGGGTGGGACGGAAGTTTACGAATACAATGTGACCCTGCGACTGGATTTCGAGGAGCAGATTCTCCCCTTTGGAGTTGATTTGTCCGACTCCGAGGATCACGAAATTATCAATGTCTTTGTGATCACCGCCTCCAAGGAACTTCACACCCTATCTCTACGCCCTGAATTCTTCCGCAGGACCTCCTCAATCGATGAAAATGTGAGGGACTGGTGCAAGACGTGCCTCCCTGCCCCCTTGGCCTTCTCGAACCCCCACCGACTACACGCAAGCAGTCCCCTGGAGTTGTTCATCTCTCTCGACAATGGCGCCTTGCTGCGGCTGACCCGGAGAGCTGGCGACGATGGTGAGTGGTTTTTCTTAGTCTTGCTACGTTAGCGACACTGATTTTATTAACTGTTTCTGAAATCAGGTTCCCACTGGTCCCCTCTCACCTTCGACGAACGAACATGGGGCTCTTCGATTCGAGGTCTCGTTAAATGGAACGCACCCTCCTCGATCAAACACGACGGACGCAACCTTGATTTAAATGTCGCAAATGCCATTGCCACTACCTCCGACGAGACGTACGTCTTTGCGATTTGTTTGAACCACACTCTTAAGATTTGGAATCTCGCAACAAACAAGCTGGCAGCCACAAAGGATCTCCTGGGACGCTCGCTTCAGGATCCAGATCTAGTATCGTATACCCTCAACCCTGCCGAAACATCATTCATGCGCGTCTTCAACGCCGAGCGAGCCATGGATGGTGGACATCGCTTCTATGTTGTCACATATTCGCCATTCGAGGACGGCAAGTTCAAGTTTTGGGCTGTCAAGGGTGGCCTGACGTCCGAACTCATTATTGAGGAACTCTTCCCAGATGATGTCTTCCGACCTGTAGACCCGGATGCCACGGGTAACATGTTCTGGAACATCGCTGATTTCCAGGTCAAATCCCGGGAAGAAGGCAAGGGAATGGAGTTGTGGGTGCTCTGGAGAAACCACGGTCTTTACCAACTCTACACCCTTCATTTCAACCTCCAAACCCTTGTTACAGATTGGGCCTCCAACTGGGTCTCGACAACGTTTGAAACTCACCGACAAGAATCGCCGCCACCTTTGGTCTTAGATGATGTGGTGGACCCCACCGAAAAATGGCTACAGTATCTCCTGCAGCCGAACAGATATCTGCCGGAAGTTCTTGAGACTGCTCTGGCCGTTTATCAGGAAGCCATCAAACCACTATCGTCGGCTTCATCTGGAGGGCTGAAAAAGAGTTTGCCTTTGGCGGAACGACTCTGCTCCACAATAGCATCAGCAGTCTCTCTTCGGAGATTTGCCGATGATGAAATGGACTACTCCCGGTATACTTCAGATACAGATTCAAAGTGGCGTCAGTTCTGGCAAGTTGCGGAAGATCTCAACAAACGCCGGTTCGAACCAATCTCTCTCGCCTACGACTCATACACCGACATGCCATGGCTCGTTCTGTCAGACTCATGCGCTGTGGTGCGGGAATGCAGCATCACTGAATTATTCCTGCACAATTCCAGCTCCGAACTCAGTGATGGAGTGCCGAAGATGGTGGACCGCTGGAGACATCGCAATGTTTCAAGGGAGCTGGGCCCGGACTTCGAAACAGCCTCTGGATTGTTGAAAGTGGCATCCGATTTCCGAAAAAGATTCTCGCCCGAGCTTGAAGGAGCGTGCCGAGCTGCTCTGCAGGCCGAAATCTTTTCTGAGCCTTCTTCGTCGATCCTGGACCGTATGGAGAACTTCCGAGAGCGCTCCGACTTTGTCAATCAAATTTCCAACAAATCATTTGACAGCCTAGAGGCGGCCCTAAGTGAATACATGAGAACTGACTGCTTGTCCATGGATGCCTTCCTTGCCATTATTCAAACCGCCTCCCTTCACTTCTGTGGAGAGGACTCTGAACTTGCTTCAACCTGTTTTGGGGCTCGAGTTCTTGTCAGTGGTGCGCAGGAGACTATCTCCATCTCTCGTCAAATCTTTTTCGATCTTCTAATCCTAGTGACATTCGTGGATGGCGAATGGGAGCAAACGAGCAAGTCTGATTTCGATGCGTCCGACCTTTTCTCAATGCTTGTTGATCTCCTACGTGAATATGAGATGATGGCCTGGCTTAGCTCAAATGTCCGCAAATGCCCCGACAACGCAAGCAAGTCCCGTGTCGACCCAACGCAGAGATATCCACTGAAGGACAGCTCGAAGACCAACAGCCAGCGAACTGCGACCATTCTGGAGGATCTGTTTGTTACTGATATCAAGCCTCAGCAAGCGATTGACTCCCCACAGAGTTACACATTGACTCTAGGAATCAGAGATGTCGTGGCCTGGATTACCCGCGAGGGAGAGGTGAACTATCAAAACGCAGTCGCTCACATCCAGTGTGACCTGATTGCCAAGAACAACATCGATCTTGCATGGGACTTCCTTCGTTTCCAGGCAAGCACCTCCTGGTCAACGTATGTCAAGGGTCGCTTGCATGTGGCCATGTCGGAATTCGATACCGCAGCAATCTACTTCCGGAAGGCAGCTTACCTGCTCTGTGCGTATAACTGATTTCGCTTGTTGATGTAATGGCTAACCTAGATGCAGCTTGCGGTAAACCAATGGGCAATCTTTCCGACATGTCAGCAGAGCTTTTAGACCTCCTCGATGTTGACTGCTTCCACAACGGTCTTGCGAAATATTACCAGCACATCCTTTCAATTTTTGAAAAAGAGCGCTCATACTCTCATGTCGCGGACTTTGCCAGCCTGGCGCTGCAGGCCCTCGACTCTGAAATTTGGGCCGAGCAAGACGCCGAATACCCGACCGTACGCGACGACCTATTGTCTCGTCTGTTCACTGGAGCGCTCAAGACTTGCCAGTTTGACAAGGCATACTCCGCTCTCGCTAGGCTACAGGATCTCAAATTACAACGAACCGAGCTTACCGAACTCATCTCCACTATCCTAGCAGTCTCCGGGCCCGGCACTGCTGGTCTTAAGCAGATCCTCCGGTTCCCCACCGCACTCGTACCCAACATCGCATCTTTCATTGACGAGATCCTGGTTCACCTGACTCGCAAACAGACCACCAATGTCTCCTGGTTGGATGCGGACAACAAAAACTTCCCAGACACGCCAGACTACACCCGCATCCTGCAGGCCTATCGCATCGCCCGCAGTGACTACCGCGGCGCCGCCGAAATTGCTTACCGCAACGTGCAGCGCCTCCGCAAAGCACGAGATGCACCGTCATCAGCTCTTACCCTCAAAAGCAGGGAAGCGGAAGATGCAGCTCGGTCACCAGTTGAGGAAGATGATACTGAAAGCAAAGAAATCCGCCACGAGTTGTTGTCCCTAATCAACCTCCTCGCTTGCGTCGACAAAAGTGAAGCATACATCCTCGTCGAGAACGGACCTCCCATCAGTGCGGCTCCGGTTTCTCCCCATGACAGACGCTCAAGTACACAAGCCGATGAAGACGGAAACGTCACCATGGAGGACGCCTCCCCCGCCTCCCCTACAACCCTCGGAGACAAGCGGCGATCATCCAATGCTGTGGCTTTCGCACCCGCCCACCGCAGAGGCAGCAGCAAATCTTCCGCCATCGAACGACGGAACAGCATCGTGTCCTTTGAAGTCCCTGCGACCAATAATTTACTTAAGCGACGTATCATCGTCACGCTCGAGCATCTGCGTCGCGAATTCCAGTCTGAGCTCGACCGCGTCAGCAGGATTGAGCGCGGTGACTGGGAATTCGGTCTTGATGAGGTGAAGGATGTGGATAATGATGAAACGATGGTCCTGTAGTTAGGGCTTCTGCGGAGGACTTGTCTCTGACTCTTTTGCATTTTGGCCTTGGGGATTGCCATGGCCTACCTCGAATTTGATCTTTTTTGTTCCAATGTATGGTGACATGGGTGTTTTCATTTCTTTTTTGCTAGGGTAGTCCATAATCGGATGGGGTGCACAATAGGTTTTACTTTTTTTTTCCATTCTGGTATGGATAGAAATACTAGCTTGATTTCCGGGGACTTGACCTTGGGAACTTCCATCTCACACTATGTTGTATAAAGGCTCCTCTCATGGTCAATTAGATGGGTGCGAATGAGATAGATGTCTCTAGGAAGAAATGTACAACCAATTTGGGCATATTATATGGAGGGTTTCCTTGTCTGCTACTATAATTTGACTAGATAGCGTATTTCGTCTCTTATGAACATATCATTGTGGCCTCATTCTCGGGATCATGCACTATGCGCAGAGTATTTTCGACACATGAATTCCGGCACTAAAATTAGAAATACCGTATATCATCGTAATGGCCCCCATAATGTATAACTTCAGCGGTCTCCGTTGTTACGCTAGCAAGGTAGCCGGGTGTGATTCTCTCGGCCCCAACGCAATGTCCAATATTCATTCGAATATTTGGTGTGCGTTTTCTTCTGCAAGTTACTGGGGGCATATAGGAGGTCACAACAAGCACCTCGTCAATCTTAGCGGGCTTTCCTGTCCATCTTGATGTAAAGAGAGCTTTAATACGCTCATATTGTGAGAGCTAGATGTATCGGAGAGAAGAAACTGGGAGGTCTGAAGATAACTGGGGGCCGCAGAGGCCACATGATCTCCACAAAAGCCTCTACTCCAACAAGAGAAATACAAGCCACAACGAAAATGGGTACGTTCAAGTCTACGGAGAGAGATAAGAGGGTATCTACTAGAAACGTGTCAAAATTTACGATGTGAATTTCGAAGTGGCACACTGGTGGTAATAAACTGATGTACTGCCCTTTCAGATGCCATTGAGAGATTCAGCAGGTTTAACCCAGTACTAGTCAAGATACGGTGGTAGATAATAATTTCGAGAATACCTGTATAGATCTAGGTAAATGTTAATCAAATCAAATGATCTTGTTGAGCAACAACGTTCAACTTTCTAAATGGATGTAGGTTGTATGATATATATATATCTAGCAATTGTATACGGAGTAATCGTTCAAACACCGTGCTTTTTTAAGTAAATTGGAGGAGAGCAAATGTTTGGCTATTCAAGCTCACTGCATATATATTTTGCCTATGATTATTTGATCCCGCCGAAAAAAGATATCAAGTCATCGTGTATCTTTCCCACCCTGTGTAGGGTATAGCGCAGATGAATAAAAACCAATGCAACCAGTCTTCGATTTACTACAGAGATTCGCAATAGCTAGGAGACTCAACGGAAGTTGCAGTTAAAAAATCATACTCTAGTTCATCAAGGCAAAGCGTATGGATCAAGACTCAAGCGTTATAGAAAGGAGTGGTGTATAATGCCCAACAAGGCATAATAATATTCAAAAAGAGTGAAGAAAAGCATAAAATCATCACCGAATCCAAAAAAGTCACAAGAACAAGAATCATAAGAGCAATATATAACGCCGACCAGTCCAGGCGCAAAAAAACAAGTATGTTGTCGATATGTACCTCGAAAAAGGGAATGTGAGAGATTGTCACGCCAAAAGAAAAGTAACCAGACGCTCCAACCTGTGCAGGTGCAAAATCAATCAGACAACCGAACCCAAAAAGCCTCAAAACCTCCAAAAAACAAGAAAACCAAAAAAAGAGAGAAATCAATATGACTCCTCCGTCGCCATGGCACTCGCATAAAGTTGGCTGAAATGCGACTTGGGCTCGGCGAGAAGCTCATACGGGGCCCCATTCTCAACAATGCGACCAGCATCCAAGACGATAATACGATCAAAGTCGAGAATTGTGTCAAGTTTGTGGGCCACAGCGATGATGGTGTGATTACAGAATTTCTCTCTGATGACGCGCTGCATGATCTCATCTGTTTTGGTATCGATGCTAAAAAAAGGTTAGATTTAATTTTGAGCAAGGGGGTGTGGATTGTATAGATCGCAAAACTCAGGAAACTTATCCGCACTTGGGTGAGACCTGATGCAGGGGGAAATAACGAAGTGGGTCGAAGCGAGGAGAGTGACTTACTTGCTAGTTGCTTCATCCAAAATGAGGATGTTGCCGGGGCGAAGAAGGGCCCGCGCAAGGCAGAAGAGTTGTTTTTGGCCGTGAGACAGGTGGATCTCGTCGACTTCTGTGTCTAAAGTGCCCTTTTCTTGGATTGCAGGGAGGAGCTGGACGCTCTTGAGAGCTGCCAAGATGTCCTTGTCCGTGCGGGTCCCTGTTGGATCGGCGTTCGATCGGACGCTGCCTTGGAAGAGCAGGGAGTCTTGTGATACGCCGTTGATGCGAGAGCGGATCTCTCGTCGGGGGAGTCGACTGATGTCAACCCCGTCCACGGTGATGGTGCCGCTGGTTAGTTCCATCATTCGGAAGATGCTCATGATCATGGAGGTTTTTCCACTGTTGATTTTTCTCTGTTAGAATAGAGTAGGAAATTGAATTGGAGACTGTGTTCTTACCTGCCGGTGCGTCCGCAGATGCCGACTTTCTCGCCTGCCTCGACAGTGAGAGAGACATCGTTGAGAACTAGGTCGGAGGGTCTGTAAGCCGCAGAGATAGAGTTGAAGGCAACTGCACCCTTGGAGGGCCAGTTAGGGGGCACATCTTGGTCTTCACCAGGCTTGTCCTCCGACTCGACAGTTGATGTAAAGTCTTTGATGCGCTGAATGGAACCGATGTGTGTCTCCAAGTTAGTCCAGAATGTCACCAGGAGCTTGATGCTCTGACTGAACTGAATAACGTTCAGTAAGGCAACACCCACGTAGCCTGCACTGAGGGTTGATCCACGCAAGGCAACGACCAGCACGATCAGAAGGACAGCGATTCCGGCTACGACCATGTCCAGCGACAGGGTGAGCCAGCGCTGGATAGCGAACATGAAGTAGAATGGTCGTTGCGAGTGGTCTAGGAGAGCAATGTTTTTCTTTTCCATGGCATGTTGCCATCCAAAGGCTCGCAAGGTCACAAGTCCTTGAAGACAGTCTGTGAAGTGCGAGTACAGCGGAGCCTTGGCCTCGATATCCAAGTAACGAAGCTGGCGCGAGGTGCGCAGGTACATCTTCTGAATGAGGAACAAGATACCGAGCACGATCGGGAAAGAGATAGCTGCGTATTTGGAGGAAACTCCAATGAGAGCCATCTGCGCCAGACAGAGGAAAAATGTAACAACAGTGTTGATCGCGGCGACAGGGAGCTCCATGTCGATGAGTTGCAAGTCTTGACTGAACCTGTTGAGGATTGAACCGCTGTCGGTGGTAGAAAAGAACAGCATCGGAGCGGCCAGGACAGTGGTAAGCAGCTTGCGGTGGAAGCTCTCGCCAGACTTTGGGACCATGGTGATGATCATTTGGCAGGAGCCGACAATCAGTGCGAGCATGGCGATACAGCCAAGCATCGCGTAGATACCGAGATAGTGGCCAATCTCCTGTTTGTGATGTTCTGTGTCGGACTGGGCCCACCATTTCACCCAGATGCTGGGGAAAGAGATGCAGAACACGAAGCCGGCCATTGCGACCATGAAAATAATTACAGGGATCCATCCGATCGTGTTGATGTAGTATGTGTAGATTCCGAGATCGCCACCGCGGTCGAGATGCTCGGGCTCCTCGACTGGAACCTCCTCCTTGTTCTGGATAGTGTCCATACTGCTGTAACTGGGAGAGTCGGAGAATCGCTTTGGCTTGTATTCCCAATCAGGCAGACTGAGTCCGAAGCTTGACACATATCCACCAGTTTTGTTCAGGGAAGCAAAGGTTCCCTGTTCGGAAATCCGACCACCTGGCTCCAACACAATGATGTGATCGGAATAGGGAAGGCGCTTGACAGAAGATGAAGTAATGATAACAGAAGACTCAGTCGCCCTCAGAAGTCCTCTGGGGCCGAGAAGGCTGTGGAAGATGTGATTCTCAGTGGTAGCATCCAGACCGCTGAGAGCATCATCGAGGATTATGATCTTTCTCCGAGCGTAGACTGCCCTTGCAAGTGCGATACGTTGGCTTTGACCGCCACTGAGGGCGATGCCTTTGCTTCCGATAACAGCAGCATCCCCACGAGGGAACTGTGCGAGGTCTTCTTCCAGAGCGCAAGCCCGAATTACAGAGGCATACCATTGAGCATCATAGTCAGACATCGCAACGATGCTGTCTTTGATAGTGCCATTCATGTGCCATGGCGTTTGATCACAATATGCAACGCTGGGAGAGGCCAGTGCAACCTTGCCACCAGAGCAGGGGATTTCCCCAAGAAGAGCCTTGAGCAAAGTGGACTTGCCACATCCAGACGGCCCGATGATAACAGTGAAGCTGCCTTGTGGGATGGTAATGGTAATGTCATTGAGGATTGGATCCTTGTTAGCTTCCCATCCAAAGCTTCCACCTTGAACGACGACAGCATTTGTAGAAGACACACCACTAGTGCGCTTGAGCGATTCGACAGAGTCCGAGTTGATGGATGACAACTCAAGATCCTTAGCCTTGGACAGTGGTCTTTTTTCGGCGAGATCATCGAGGAACAAAGTCTGCGAGGAGCTACCACGGCGATCGGTGTGGTCCTCTTTGTCCAAGAACTGTTGGATTCGCTGGAAAGATCCAACAGCACCAGCGAACGACATGAGTGCCATTACCAAGGTCATGAGAGGGTCTGCCAACAGCGAGAACAAGGACAAAGAGGTGAAAGCCCGAGAGACACTCAAAGGCTCGCTGGAGATACCGACATATACACCGAAGGTGAAGATCGGAGCAAACACGCGGGTCAACCAGGCAAATGCCATGTTGTAAACCAGAAGGGTACGGAACTTCTTAGAGATATCCAGCTCGCTGATCCGAAGACCGTGAATGAACTTCATGAAGATATTTTGTAAGCCAAGCATTTTGACTCCCTTGATTGAGCCCAGCATCCCGGAAGTAGAGGAAATTCGCTTCTCGATAGCTTCCAGCCAGTTGGCTTGTCGTGCAACCACAAAAGACATGCCGACTAGAGATCCGACCAAAGCGAAGACAGCAACGCAAACGGGAACAACACAGGAGATCCCAAGTTGGATCTTGAGGAGGTAGATAGCCAAAGAAATCTCAGCTGAGTTCGCCCAGATCTCATGGATGGTCTGCCATCCTTGTGTGATGCGCTCGACATCTGCACTCATCAAAGTGAGCGAGTTCGCCGGATCAGTCTCCCCGAGGCTCAGACAGGTGGCTTTCTTGTATAGCATTGTGACAAGTACACCTCGGACCATGGTAATCCCGCGGTATGTAAGATGCTGGTACTGGCCCATTGAAACGGCCAGTCCCCCGTAAACCAAGACATAGGCTCCAATGAGTCCATATCCAATGTTTTGGGTACCCTCATTGACGGGCGAATTGAAGAAAGAGAGCGATCTCTCCAGAAGCAAAGGCTGGCAAAAGTTGAATGCCACGACACAAGCTCTGGCAGGAACACCTGCAAGTAGAGGCCACTTGACAGCTTCCAATGACTCCCATTGGAGGGTGTTGGGTGATTTAGTTGCCACTGAATAAATATTAGCAAAAAGTAAGCAAAACCGTGTGTAGCCGAGCAGAGGTAGTTACCTTTGCTCCATTTCTGGTCAAACCGAGCTAACAAGCGCTCTGAGCTCAATTCCTTATCCAATGAAGAGAGATCTGATACCCGCAGGACGCCTGTGAAGCCGATCTTGAACAGAGGGTTCAGCCACCAGAATACGGCCCGGTTATAGAAACCTGCAGTCGCTTCAGGGGGGGTAACCCGCATATTCCGATTTGAGAATATGTCTCTTCTCCACAGCCTCGAGCACGAACAAAATTGATTTGACACCCACTGCTGTGGTAGCAATGATGGCCAGAACATCATTGAAGGGGTCCACACTGCGAAGCCATAGCGTTCTGGAATGAGCAATATCGAAAAGCAGGCTGCAGAAGAGGTAGGTGTTCAACCAGAAGGAGGGTCGCACAGAGCGCGTGTGCTCTGCATATGAAAGCAGAACGAGAGCGAGTACGCCGACTGTGAGGATCACATTGGCCGGAACCGACGCTTTGGTGCTGTCGGCTGCCGGAATTGCCCATAAAGCTGTTTGTGCAATTTGAAGACCCAGTTGTGCCAACCAAGCTGCCTAATTAGAGAATTGTCATCAGACAGGATTCCAAATTCGAATCAATTCCAAAGATCAGGGGGGTGGGGGTTGCATGCGAACTGCAGGAAGCAAAGCCGAGCAACACTGTCGACTTACAAGCTTGATGAGAACCAACCATGACCCCACAACTTTGGTTCGTCTTTGCGAAAGATGCCACAGACGAACAGGAATAACGATTAACATTAAGATAATAGGTAAGATTTGGAGGATGGTCTCCTCGAACAAAAGAGAAAAGTCGAATCCTCCCCGACATGGTCCAGCATCGATACGTAGAGTATTATCTAGATCGCGGCACAAAGGCCCTGAAGAGCGAGAGGATGTCATGTCTAACCTTGAACCACCTGAGGACAGAAGATGGTTGAAGAGAAGAAAGACTGCAGAACGAGCGACCCGGGGAATTAGAATTCAAAAGAGTGTATGATTCAAAGAGCGTGCATGACTTTTGGGGAGCTTGCCGCTTTTTGGTTTAGATCAGATGCATCAGAAAGTGACTTAATAACAATTAGACTGAGTACTCGATCATCAAAACAAAAGGTACTTAGGGCTAAATGAGGATCTCTATCCCTCTCGGCAGGAGCCCACTACATTTAGGAGAACGACCCCGAACGCTGATGGGCTTGTTACTGGTGCGCTGCATTAAGGTGGACATGAATAAAACACTCGATGCAACCATCTTACAATGTTATCACTGGCAATGCCCTGTGAGCTCATCCAGACGCGGGCTAGAGATGTATGGATCCATTCAGCTGCATCTATTTTCGGTCATTTTTGTGTATTTTCTTTTTTTTCTTCTCTTCTATTTTGATTTCTTTTCTTTTCTTTTTCTTGACTATAAGACCTTGGGAGATTGGTCTCTAATTTTATCACTCCACTTCAGTCATTTACAGTGGTCTTGATTCAGGCAAATTGCGGATGGCTTTTTTTTCCCCTTCCCCCTTGGGGATGTGGGGGATGCCATTGGCAGTCAATCTATTTACCGGACGCAAGGAAACCTCAAGTAAACCCCGAGCAACACGAGGTAGTTGTGTCACCTTGCAGAAATGAAATTCTCACCAGATGTGCAATAACGAGGTGAAATCCAAGCCCCGTGTCGAGTTAGGGCAAAAATAACTTTGCGCTCATGTGAGGGTGAGAAAGCCTCGATCTGTATAGGAGATCTGCCGCTTTGGGCTTGTCATACAGTTCGTTGTTATTGTTTTTTAATCTAATTTAATATATCCCTATTCTTATTTTCACTTTACTGCAAACTTATAAGATTCATATCAAACTCTACTTCACCGCAGAAGTTAAGAGACGGTGAAAGATTTGGGATAGGAGAAAAACCATGAGATACTGATTCCAACCGGTTTTGACGAATGTTCGTCACAATTATAATCCTTCAAAATCAAGTAATCAACAAACGCCTCCTGTAGTGATGGCGTTTTTTTTTTTTTTTTTGCTTCTACTGACTCGGTAGTGGCGGTAGGGTGTCGATCCATCCGGGCCAATCGTTCTTTTTACCCAAACTTCTGTAGTTTGGCGTGGCCCACATTGAATCCTTTCGGAGTTTCGGCTGTCATCGGTATTCCTGATTTCAATTGGGCCTGACTAGCCTGGGATCTGCATGCCTCCAAGACGTGGTAGTTCGCGTGGCGGGCGCTCAGCCAATATGCATGAGTCGGGATCTGTACCTACAGTGCCTGACGAGCAAGCTGTCCCCGAGATACCGAATTGACTAGGGTCAACAGTTTTTTTTTTTGTTTTTGGCTTTTTCCACTTTTCCCCTTGTCTTGTAAGCGTGGTTGATGGGTGGCGAATCCAGGCCATGATACTCCCCACTAATGTACATCAGTGCTCACATGTGCAGTAGATTCCAAATAATCCTGCAGCGGAGAAACAATCCCATATTTGTACTTCATAACTCCCTATATCTTTGATGGGTTTGAGCATAAATGTCCTCATGGGGCTCAAAGCGTGCAGACATAAAAATGATCGATCCGGTGACAATGAAATTAACCTGAGTGTCTCCATCATTGTCTGAGTTCGTACCGCCGGACGGGAGCTAGGGCTAGCCCGTCATAAGTGTCAACTAGTTCGTTTAGCCATTGGATTTTCCCTGATCTCGGCCTTTGCCGTGTGGATCTTCCGGAAAATCTCATATCCTTATTGGTACATTGGACGTGTTGGCTTCGCGTCTTGACTAGTGAGAGGCACAAAAGTACCCCGTACTTACTCCGTATCTTCCAGATCAGTAGGCTTATACGAGTGCGGAATTCAGATGAAAAGAACAGAGGATGTGAGGAAAAAAGCAATAACTTTCTAATACAAAGCACATACACCACATGTGCCCATGTTTTTGACGCAACTGGATATGTTGTATACACAAGTCGATCGGAGGAATGTGATCTTTCGTACCCCTTTCCGCTTATTTTACTTTAGACCCATATTTTTATCCGGATATCGAGTGTATATATAAAAACGCCAAGTCGACAGGTCGCGGCATTCAATTGGGCCCGCATCCCTTGATGACCCTTGCAGTAGCGATCGCTAGTGGCTTACATCTGTACACATCAAGATTACGTTACGTGATGTATTTCGTACGTGAGAGGTGTTTATATTCAAATTTCGGGTATCGAATTAGTGCCTTACAACATCCAATAGTACGACTTTAAAATGAGTATTCCTCCGAAGTATCTACCCTTGTACTCCGTATACTCGGATAGACCGATATATCAGAAGTATGAAAGCGATGACCTCAGCTTGGGTATGACGGAAGCAGGATTTTCTTCAGTGGCTTGAACAAAATCAAATCTCCAAAGTCATCCAAGGCATGATGGTGTCAAAACACTTAAATTAGCTTTCCGATCACGATCACTATGAATGATCGACACCGCCACTGACACCCTCACTGCGGTAGTGCCTGAACTGCGCGGCAGATGTTGGTTCAACCCGTCCTAGCTCGCCACACCTTACTGATGCAGACCCCAGCTCTCGGATATCCGTGCCACGCGCAGTCATCACCAGAGCTCCTATAGTAGAGGTGAGAGGTCAGAGGTGAGCATGGAGCAAGTAGCCCCGGGGGTCGGTGCTATAGGCGAATCAGTCGGTGTACCCCATGAATGATAAACGCCTCACGAGGCTCGTATACCTGCGCTGATGTCGATGCATGACTGGAGCAAGAGCCTATAACCGCAATATGAACCGAGTGTATACGGCATGGTCTAATTGGGGATATGCACCTGTTCTCTATGTTGCCGTAAGCGGATTCAGAATAACCAGCAAAGCCACTATCGTCAGTATTGGGACTTGGTAAGCCCGGGGGAAAGGATAATAAACAATAACGCCATCCACTTGCAACATTCGGGGCTAAAAAAGCCTCGCGCCCCAAACGCCTTACTCACTGCTACACCCACGTTCCAGACTGCAAGGGATCCCGATCGGGGGAGCTGCAGGCTCTCGCTTGGAAGAATTGTATTGACGAAGTACACAGACCGAGTAGAGACCTTTCCCCTGCAGGACCTTTTGGTATTAGTTCAAGTGATTTAGTCCTTTTGCCAAAGGTTACATTGGCACCCCGTAGTTGAAAATAGATACAGAAATTCTTTCGGGAAAAAAAAAAAAAAAAAAAAATCAGTGTGTCTGACTCGGGTCCACAGGGGGGCAAGTATACACCTGGTCCACGTATTTTCGCTCTCTCTCCCTTCAATCTAGATCTAATGCAAGGAATATAAGCGACTTGTCTGTGATCTAAGCCATTGGTGCCTTATTACTGGATACTCTTGGAGAGCGTGGCCATGCAGTCTTAGGCCGCCGGACATAGCGCTTTTCGAGGTTTCAAGAAATTAAAACCTTTTTTTTTAGAAAAAGGGAAAAAGGAAAAAAAATTGACTTGTACCTAGTTCTTTAAAATAACCAAGCTTATCCCAGTTCGCGGGCGCTCAAGTCTAGTAACTCTTGAGTGAATACTGTCGTTGATCCTTTATACCCCAGGCCCTCACACACTCTCCCTCCATCGACCGGAAAACACGAAACGAAGCTGAAATAGAAGACAGCACGGACGAATACGGCCACTAGAAGCCATGGCCCAATCCACCAAATGCTATCTTCCTCGGTTCGCTTCGACGGTTGACGGGCCTAAACGCCCAGTCTCGATGAAGACGAGACCAACGGCCGCTCAACATGCGCAGTTATTAACCGCATGGAGCGAAGGCCGTCTGGATCCAATCCTACGAGCCACTTGGGCTCTGTTGTTGCATTACTATATCCGCTCCGAGGATATTTGCTTCGGTTACCAACATCTCGAGGCCGACCCCCACTCTCCCAAATCTTCTGTACAGCGTTCCACGGACGTCAACATCTCGACGATCCGCATATCCATCAACGACAATGACTCCCTCATAGAAATTGTAGATAAGATGCGCGCAAGTAGTGCGAACCGCCATGGAAGCTCGGAGGCCGCTTCCAAGTCATACCTTCCTTTCAACACCATCTACATGCTGCGTACATATGACCCGCCTGCTTCTCTTTCAAAACCCATTCTGGCACCGGCTCTCCCGGAGGAGGTTAGTCAACTCACGCATAGGCAATGGAATTGCAGAATGAAATGGCTAACAACGCACGCAGTGTCAAGTCCGCCTTCATGTTAAGGTGCTGCGTGGAGACATCAGCATCTTCCTTGAATGGCGCAAGGGTGACATGTCTGGGGAGCAGATGAAGAGTATTGCAAACATTTTTGAGCAGTTGCTTGCCAAAGTCCTTTCCGCTGAGAACACCGCTATTAGCCAGCTTAATTTGTTCTCCGAAAATGACTGGCAACGCATCCGCAAGTGGAACTCCACTATTCCAAAGCTTCACGATCGCTGTATTCACGAAGCTATTCATGATCAAATGCTTAGCGGACCTGATCGTGAGGCTGTGTGTGCGTGGGATGGAAGTTTGACCTTCGGCGAGTTGGACTACCAAGCGTCGAAGCTTGCATGTTATCTTCGCATGCAGGGCGTTGGGCCAGAAGTCCGCGTGGCTCTGTGTTTCGAAAAATCGGTGAGTCGAGTATTTAATGTCTAGAAGAATTGAGTGCATGCTGACTTTACAGAAATGGAACGTCGTCGCAATGCTTGGCGTGATGAAGGCGGGCGGAGCCTTCGTCCCATTGGACCCGACTCACCCAACTTCCCGTCTTCAAGCTCTCATCCAATCGGTTCAGGCCCCGGTTGTGTTGTGCTCCCAGCATCTTGCCGAAAAACTTCGTCCTATTGTGAACACTTTAATACCTCTCTGTTCTGATACATTAGATCCTCTGTCTGATCCCACAGACAGTGTTGATCTTGCGTCAGGTGTCACAAGTCAAAATGCGGCTTATGTTCTGTTTACCTCTGGATCAACAGGAGAACCCAAGGTTAGTAATTTCTCATTAAAATCATGTAGGGGTTGCTACAATGATATGTGACTTGAGCTGAATCGTGTTTCGCAGGGTACACTCTTGGAGCACCGCGCGTTCCTGTCTGGAGCCATGCACCATGGGCCCGGTCTGCACATTCATCGCGAGTCGCGATGCCTTCAATTTGCCGCCCACACATTCGATGCCAGTTTGGCCGAGTGTTTGACGCCACTCATTCATGGTGCATGTGTCTGTATTCCAAGCGAGGAAGCTCGTCTTAATGATATTGTGACTACCATCAACGAGATGCGAGTCAATCACGCCTGCTTCACGCCATCATTCATCGGCTTTATTGAAATCGACAGTGTCCCAGGACTGGAGAGTTTGGTTCTGGCCGGGGAGGCAATGTCGCAATCGCAACTGGCCACTTGGTCGAGACTCCAACTGATCAATGGTTACGGACCTACCGAGGCTAGTGTGGCATCCGTACTCAACTCCAATGTCACACCTGAAACAGATTGTAAAGATATCGGCCTGCCCATTGGTGTGAGGGCTTGGCTCGTGAACGCTGATAACCACGATGAGTTGGTCCCCGTGGGCTGCCCTGGAGAATTACTTTTGGAAGGCCCACCCCTGGCCCGGTGCTACGTGAATAACCCACACAAGACAAACGAATCGTTCATTTACGACCCTGCGTGGACTAGCTTGGACCCCGAAAGTCGCTCCAACCGTAGATTCTACAAGACAGGTGACCTCGCTAGGTACAACTCCGACACAGGTGCCCTGAATTATATCGGTCGGAAAGATACACAGGTCAAGGTTCACGGCCAACGAGTCGAGCTCGGCGAAATTGAGAATCAGCTCAGCAAAGATTCGAACGTCACTCACTGTTCTGTTCTTTTCCCCAAGGCTGGATTCTCCAAGGGACGCCTAGCCGCGGTTCTCTCCCCTGCCGGATTACTTGCAGAGCAACCTGATTTGGACTTGGAGCCTCTAAAACTCGTCTCCGCCTCGAAAAAGGCTGAGCTTGTTCCCGGTATCCGAGAGGGCCTTTCAGCCCGCCTCCCTACTTACATGGTCCCTGCGGTCTGGTTGTGTGTTGAAGCTCTTCCACGTCTACCATCAGGGAAACTAGACCGCAAGGGTATCTCCACTTGGGTCGCAGGTATGGAAAGTGATCCAGATCTTCAGAAAAATGCCTCTGTCGCAATCGTCGGCACGGAGGCCTCGCAGCCCAGCAACGATATAGAGGAAGCTTTGGCTGCTGTATATAGCCGTGTCCTCAATATTCCCCCGAACCAGCTCAATTTGAACGAGAGCTTCCTCGCCCTTGGTGGTGATTCAATCGCAGCCATGACATGTATCGGTCTCTGCAAGAAAAGAGGATTCTCCCTCTCTGTACAAGAGCTGCTCCGCAGCAAATCAATTCGCGACCTCGCAACTCGCGCAAAGATAATCGATCATCTCACGACTTACGAAGAAGCCGTTGACGAACCATTCAATCTGTCCCCGATCCAGATCCTCCACTTTGGCGTACGCAAAGAAGGCCAAGGGCACTTCAACCAAGGAATTCTTACTCGATTGAATAAACCTGTCACTGAACAAGCCCTCCGCAAAGCTGTCGAAGCTTTGGTATCTCGGCACTCCATGCTCCGTGCAAGATTTACGGACACTGGATTTGCAACGGCTTCGAGTCAACACATCACTCGCGATATCAAAGGATCTTACAGATGGCGGATGCACACTCTCGTGAGCATGGACGAGGTCAAGCCCCATATTGCGGACAGTCAGTCTTCCATCAACTGCTTTTCTGGCCCGTTACTTGCTGTCGATTATTTCTTGATGAAGGGTCAGCCTAATGTCCTGTCAATGACGGCTCACCACCTGGTTGTCGACATTGTCTCTTGGAGGATAATTTTGGAAGACTTGGAAGACATCATCTTGAACCCCGAGAAGACGGAAACAAGTGACAGCTCCCTGCCGTTCCAGACCTGGTGCCGCCTGCAGAATGAGCACTGCAACGCCCTACGGGCGGAGCATAAGATTGCAACCGAGGCTCTCACTACACCCAACTTTGGGTACTGGGGTCTCAAGGACACTCAAACTACATATGGTGATGTGGATTGTGCGTCGTTTGAAATTGACTCAGCCCACACAAATGCCATTCTCCTGGATTGCCACAAAGCTCTTGGCACCGAGCCAATTGACCTCTTCCTGGCAGCAATGCTTCACTCGTTTGGTCGAGCCTTCCCGGATCGTTCCCTTCCAACGATCTACAATGAAGGCCATGGACGAGAGGTCTGGGACTCCTCCATTGATATCTCACATACCGTTGGCTGGTTTACCATCTTGCACCCAATTTTTGTGTCTGCATATAAGGCAGACAACCCCATTGATACCCTCATCCAGGTGAAGGATCTTCGCCGTCGTGTCTCAGACAATGGTCGCGCAGATTTTGCCAGCCGCGTTCTACCAGCGCAGGACAATCAGGACTCGGAGCACCCCCACCCCTTCGAGATGTCATTCAACTACGTTGGCCAACATCGAGATCTGCAGAGGACAGATGGTCTTTTCCAACTTGTTGACCAGATGGCTGGAGAAGCTGGCCAAGGAGGCGGTGCCGCTGACTTTGGTGCCAATACTCCCCGCTTCGGTCTGTTCGAGATCTCAGCGATGGTTGTGGCTGGAAAGGTTCGATTCAACTTCTCTTTCAACAAATTTATGCAGCACCAAAGTCGCATTCACCGATGGGTTTCCGAATGCCAGGAGCTGCTAGTAAATCTTGCTGAGAAGCTTCCTACCCTTGCACCCCGTATGACTCTGAGCTCGTTCCCCATGCTCTCGTTGAGCTACCCTACCTTGGACAAGTTGCTTCATGAGAAGCTGCCTGCTATGGGTATCGAGTCCCCAGACCTTGTCGAGGATATCTATCCTTGCTCTCGCATGCAGCAGGGTATTCTCCTTGGTCGCAAGCGAGATAGCTCCTACTATGCCGTACACGACACTTTCGAAATTGCAGCTACCGGATCCAGCGAGCCCAACCTCGATCGTCTAGTCAATGCATGGCAGCAGGTAGTTTCTCATCACGCCATGTTCCGCACGATCTTCGTTGAGAATCTCACCCCTCGGGACCCCTTCTGCCAGGTTGTACTGAAGAGTTGTGATGCTACTCCTGTCTTCTTGCGGTCTTCAGGGGACGATGACGTACTGGCTACCTTTGATAGGGAAGACCCTAAAGATTACAGTGAGCCGGAACCGGCGTATCGTTTCACTATTTGCCAGACACCCACTGGCAGACTGTTTGCCCGCATTGAGCTCAGTCATGCCGCGATGGATGGTAACTCGATCTCGATCATCTTCCGTGACCTGCAGCTCGCATACGCTGGCAGACTCGAGGAAATTCCCCAGCCTCTGTTCAGGGATTATATGCAATACCTTCAGGATGCGCCGAAGGAAGCCAGTATTAATTACTGGAGCTCATATTTGAACCAAGCCAAGCCGTGTCACTTCCCTGCCCTCACCGACGGCCAGCAGTCGGCAAAGGCACTTCGGTCCATTCCTGTCAAATTTGGAGCACTCACTGAACTCCAAACGGTCTGTGAGAAACATGGAATCACTCTCGCAAATGTCTTTAATGCGGCGTGGGGCCTTACGCTCCGCGCCTTCTGTGGAACTGACGACGTTTCCTTCAGCTACATGGCATCCCTGCGTGACGTGTCTGCTGACGGTGTCCAGTGGGTTGTTGGACCGGTCATCAATCTTCTAGTCTGCCGCATGAAGGTCTCTGATAAGGCAACGCTCAGTGATGTTTTACATCAAATACAGAACGACTACATAGAGAGTCTGCCCTACCGCCACACTTCGCTCATTGACATCCAGCATGCTTTGAAGCTGTCCGACACCAATCTTTTCAATTCCGGTGTCTCCTACCGCAGGCTTCCAAGTTCTAAGGATGCTGTCAGTAGTGATATCCAGTGCGTTGAGGTTGGTTCGATCCACGATCCTGCTGAGTTCCCGGTTTTCATCAACATTGAGGCCATGGACACCACGGCTCGCATCGAACTAAACTACTGGACTACCAACCTCTCTGATTCACAGGCTGTCAATGTGGCCAACACATATCTCCGTTGCCTAGAGAATATTGTGTCGAACATCGACGGTGAAATCCGTCAGCTCGACAACTTGAGCGAAGAGAACCGAGCTCAGATCATGGCTTGGAACAGCAAGACACCCAAGCCATTTGAGAAGTGCGCCCACCACGTTGTTCAGGAGATGGCCAAAAAGCGGCCTGATGCGTTGGCTGTCACTGCTTGGGATGGGAACCTGACTTACTCAAAGCTAGATCAATTTTCTTCCCGCTTGGCAAGTTACCTGGTTACCTTCGGTGTCGGTCCTGGCACTGTGATCCCCATCTCCTTCGAGAAGTCTGTGTGGAACATGGTCTCCACATTGGCAGTCATGAAAGCCGGAGGTGGCTGCATTCCAGTTGACACACCCGGGAGCCTGACTCTTGTTGAGAGGTGGATTGCCGACAACGCCGTGCAAGTCGCCTTGGCTTCCCCGGAGAACGCGCAGATCCTGGAAGATGCTGTACCCTACGTGATCCCCGTCAGCGAGTCTCTACTCGAGTACCTTACAGATGAGGTTCTCAACCCCGTGGCACAATCGTCCGACATTGCATATGTCGCAATGACTGCTGGGACATCTGGTCCGGCTAAGAGTGTCGTACTTGACCATTCAACTGTCATGACCCGGGCGGAGGCATTCGCTACTACAATGGCGATCGCAGATGTCTCTAGGACTCTGCAGTTCGCACCTCATACATCCGATGCATTCATCCTCGAGGCATTCGGCACTTTCATGTGGGGTGGCTGCGTGTGCATCCCTGCTGATATTGACCCTCTCAACTTGGCAACCTCTATCAACGCACTACATGTTAATGTTGCCAGCATTACCCCGACAGCTGCAAGCTTTTTCTCACCCAAGGATGTTCCAGCGTTGCGCTCTATTGCCCTGGGTGGTGAAGCTGTTTCTCAGAGTGTCCTGGACCACTGGCAGACTGACGATCTCCAATTGCAGGTCTTGTATGGAACGTCTGAGAGCTCCGCCGCTTGCTTCCACGTATTCTGTTCTCAGCACGAAAATGAGTCTACCCTCATCGGCAAAAGTACTTCTTGTCTCTCGTGGATTGTCGACCAATCCAATCACGATCGTCTTGTTCCGATCGGTAGCGTTGGAGAATTGGTACTCGAGGGCCCTGTGCTTGCCCGTGGCTACCTCGGTGATCAGTCCACTGAGAGCCGCGACTTCTTCGAGAACAGTTCTTGGTTTGGAGTAGAGAGCAAACACCGCTTGTTCAAGACTGGGGATCTTGTTCGGTACAACTCCGATGGCTCCTTGGTTTTCGTCGGCCGAAAGAATGATAAAATTGAATCAGGCTTGGCTAGCGAGCTTGTTCAGACCCAGACACGCATAGATGCTTTGCTCGACCACAAGAAGCAGTGTGTTGTACAGAGCGTGCCACTGCAACGTGAAAATATGAGGACTAATGCTCTTGTTGCTTTTGTCGTCGCCTCGGACACCCCGGTTACCTTCGAGGATCGTGTCCTCCAGCCCGCGAGTTCTAAGTTGAAAGACTACATCTCTAATCTTCATGCCAAGTTGAGTACCAGTCTTCCTGGTAGCAAGGTTCCTAGTTTCTACATCCCCATTTCCTCTCTCCCCTTAACCATCTCTGGAAAGCTAAATCGCCAGGCCCTGCAAGCCGAAACGCAAGCGCTTTCAAGCAGCGCTGTCGAGACTTTCGACATCAAACATTGGCATGAATCCAAGGCTGGAAACCGCCATCCACGCCAAGCCAGCCTCTCCGAGCCCAAAATCGCTTTCTGGAAGCAATATCTTGCCGATCTCGAACCCTGTGTTTTCCCGGCACTCTCCCACGAGGCAATCGATGATGGCCGCTCCACCCGCACACTCAATAAGCAGACAGCCAACATCCATGCCTTCAGCAGAATCTCTGGCATTCCTATGGAAACTATCTTCCAGTTTGCATGGGCAGTTGTCCTCCGGTGGTACACTGGCTCCGATGATGTGTGCTTCGGATATTCCGCCTTCGATGCGGAGACCAAATTGGACGCCGAAGGCGTTGCCACCTGCCGTTTCCTCGTACAGAACGACCGAAAGCTGTACGATACTCTCCAACAAGCAAAGAAGGACTATGATAACAGTTTGATGAACGCCGCTCCCTTGGACGCCGTCAGGCATCACCTTGGACTTGATGATATAACCCTCTTCAACACCTCCATGATATACCGTACTGCCTCCAATCTCTCCAAAGAATGTACCCGTGAGCCAACCACCTTTGGTACTTACAAGATCTTGGTTGATGCCGAAGTCTCGCATTCACATGCCGTGATCCACTTCAACTACTCTTCAGAAACCCTTCCCTCCTTCCAGGCCAGCCATTTGATGGACGTATTTGATCAAGTCCTAGACGATCTGATAGCTCAAAACCTCCATGACCGTACGGTCGGAGATATCAACGTGTTACCGGAACGCTCTGTCAGTCAGATCCGCGATTGGAACGCTGCATCTCCTCCCAGAGTAGAGAAGTGCGCCAACGAGCTCATTCAGCAGCAGGCTCTGCTCCACCCTCGCGCAGAAGCCATCTGCTCCTGGGATAAGAATTTCACTTATGGACAGCTTGAAATTGTATCGAGTCGCTTGGCCCGCCATCTGTCCAGTATTGGAGTCAGACCTGAAGTCTTTGTTGTCCTCTGTTTCGAGAAGTCGGCTTGGGCTGTCGTTGCCCAGCTAGCTATTCTCAAGGCCGGTGGAGTTTTCGTTTCCATTGACCCAACGCACCCCGATTCCCGACTGAAGATGCTTATAGAAGAAATCGGCACTCAACTTGTTTTATGCTCATCTTCACTCCACACCAAAGTTTCGAAGCTGTGCGAAAAAGCTTTCGCTGTTTGTCAGACTTCAATCTCCCAACTTTCTGACTCACCTTTGGCCTTGCCTGGTGTTCGTCCTACGCCGGACAATGCTGCATATGCCATTTTTACCTCCGGCACCACTGGAAAGCCGAAAGCGACAGTTGTTGAGCATACTGGCTTGAGTACCACAGCGATCGCCATGATCGACTCCCTGCACATGAACTCTACAAGCCGTATTCTGCAGTTCTCTAACTATACATTTGATGTTAGCATTCTCGAGATCATGATGACTCTCATGACCGGTGGCTGTGTCTGTATTCCCAGTGAGGAGGAACGTATGAATAACCTGGCTGGTGCTATCCGCCGTATGGAAGCCACCTTCATGACGGCGCCTCCTGCTATTGTCAACACCCTCGAGCCGACGAATGTCCCCACCCTCAAGGTAATCGTCACAGGCGGTGAAAAGATGCCCGCCAACCACATCGACCGCTGGGCTGATCGGTGCGTTATCAATGCCTATGGCCCCTCCGAGGCCAGTGTCGTTGCCACAATTGGTGTAAAGGTCGATTGGGATGGTAACCGTGTGAACAATGATCCCACGTCCATTGGAACAGCACCGAACTGCAGAATATGGATTGCGGACCCGAATAACTCTCACCGTCTACTACCCGTTGGCGCTGTTGGCGAGTTGATCCTCGAAGGAAGCAACATTGCCCGTGGATACCTTGCCAACGAAGAGAAGACCAAGGCCTCTTTCTTCGAGAATCCTGTTTGGAGTCGCCACCCTGGGTTACAAGGCGTGTTTAAACGCAATGATCGCCACTACCGCACTGGCGATCTTGTCCGGTACAACAGCGATGGCAGCCTGGCCTTCATCTCCCGCAAAGACACTCAGATCAAGTTCAATGGCCAACGAATTGAACTGGAAGAGATAGAACAACAGTGTCTCCGTTGTTTGCCTGAAGATTCTCAGGTTGCGGTTGATGTGGTGGTTCCCGAGGAACGCACCATCGCTAAGGGCCTCGCTGCATTCTTCACCGTTCATGATCCAGATTCAAATGGTGGCAGCAGCGATCAATTCACTCCCACTATTCCCGGAGCCGATCCTCTCCTACTGCCCATTTCTGTGTCTAACATGGATGTCATTCAGAAGTTGAAGGGCTCTTTACCCGAGCTTCTCCCCCAGAGCATGATGCCCCGTCTCTTTTTCCCTATCCGCAACTTGCCCTTCACTTCCTCAGGAAAGATCGATCGCCGAAGACTGCGGGCCATGGTCCAAACTTTGTCTAAGGAGACTCTCAAGTCTTACATTACATTCGAGACCTCCGACAGAAGGGAGGCTTCTTCAGCTACCGGCCTCGAAATCAAGCTGGTGGCTCTTGTGGAGAAGACCCTTGAACTTGAAGCCGGCTCTGTGACGGCCGATGACAGCTTCTTTGGCCTAGGCGGTGACTCCTTGTCCGCCATGAACCTCGTCGGCGCTGCTCAAGCAGAAGGCATTGAACTTACCGTCTCTACCATTTTCAACTCCCCAATCTTGATCGATATGGCTAAAAGCTGTGTCGTGTCTGACGGAGCCGCTGAAGTTCAGAAAGAACATATCAAGGCATTCTCATTGGTACCATCTGGAGTCGACCTTGAGAGTGTGATGGATGAAGTCACCGATAACTGCGAATTGTCCAGGGACCTCATCAGCGACGTTTACCCGTGCAGTGCTGTGCAGGAAGGCCTTCTAACGCTCTCTATCAAGCATAGTGGTGCTTATGTTGCTCAGCCCTCGTTCCGCCTTGCTGCTGGAATTGATGTTGGCCGATTCAAGCAGGCCTGGCAACAAACCGTGGCCGACTTGGAAATTCTTCGCACTCGCATTGTTCACACCGAAGCTATGAACTTTGCTCAGGTTGTCTTGAAAGATGCCCCTATCTCATGGATCGAAGCAGAGTCATTCGATGCTCTGCCTGACGACTTCCTTAACCTTCCCAAGGAGAACGGAGCACCGCTGACTGCTTACGCCATTGTGCAGCCTCGTGGCTCGCCTGCTAGCTACTTCGTGTGGTCTGTTCATCACGCACTTTATGACGGATGGAGTATTCCTTTGGTATTCCGCAAGGTTGAAGAGAACTACTTCGCATCGCAGACCAAGCGCGCTGGTACCCCTTACAGCTTGTTCATTGATTACTTGGCGAAGAAAGATATGGAGAAGTCGGACGCTTTCTGGAAGTCTTATCTGGCTGATCTGTCGAGCACTCCCTTCCCCCTCAACAAGAACGCGCTGCCTGGTGCCATGCGTGCTGGTAACACCCAGCACCACAGCATGAAGATTTCCCGCGCCCGTAGTAGCGTCGACTTCACAATCCCTGTCCTCATGCGCGCTGCTTGGGCAATCGTCATTGCCACCCACACTGCCTCTGGTGATGTCTGTTTTGGCGAGACTTTGTCGGGCAGAAACATCGATCTTCCCGGTGTTGCGGATATTGCCGGTCCTGTTCTAACCACTGTCCCCACTCGCGTCCAGGTTGACAATGGAATGTCTACCCTGCAGTACTTGCAGAATATTCACCAGTCAACTACCGAGATGATTCCGCACTTGCACTCCGGTCTTCAGCGAATCCGGCAGCTAAACAAGGATACCTCCACGGGCTGCGACTTCAAAAACCTCCTTGTCATCCAGCCAGGTGACGGCGAGCTTGACAATAAGATCTGGATCGACGAGAAACGTCAAACAAGCGAAGACTTCTTCACTCACCCTCTTGTCGTCGAATGTGGTGTCACCAAGACGAGCATCTCATTCACAGTCCACCACGATGAGCTTGTCATCAACGGATGGCAGACCAAGCGCATTACCGAGCAATTTGCGCATGTGCTACAGCAATTGATCAACATGCCTAAGAACAGTACGAGCAAGCTCGAAGAACTGGAGGTCATCAGCCCCGAAGACAAGGCTGAAATTGGTACATGGAACCAGCGCACCCCGCTCACAGTGGAACGGACTGTTCAAGATCTCATTCGTGATCGATGTGATGAGACTCCAAATGCCCAGGCTGTATGTGCCTGGGATGGCGATCTTACCTACAGTGAATTCTGGGATCTCGCATCCGGCTTCGCCAACTACCTGGTCTCTCGTGGAGTTGGCCCAGAAGTGTTCGTTCCAGTTTGTCTGGACAAGTCTGCTTGGGCAATGGTCACGCTCATCAGTATTCTCATCGCTGGCGGTGGGTACGTGCCTCTAGATCCCTCCCACCCTACCTCGCGGCACGAGGAGATCCTTGCCGACGTCGGTGCCAACATGATATTGTGTACCCCTAACTACACAAACCGCTACAGCCGAGTTGTGAAGACTGTTATCCCTATCAGCAAGGAGACCATCAAGGCATATGGCAGTCTCAAGTCATCTCTCCGTCGACGCACTGAAGTCAAGCCCCACAACATGGCTTATGCTCTGTTCACATCCGGTAGCACCGGTCGAGCCAAGGGGATCATTGTTGAGCACCGCAACGTGGTCAGCAGTATCATGGCATTCGCGCCGTGGGTCCGCATGGATGCGACTTCGAGGGTATTCCAATTTGCCTCCCTCACTTTTGACGCTGCTGTTATGGAGACCCTCGCGATCCTCATGGTGGGCGGTACAATCTGTGTGCCCAGTGAGGATGATCGTCTCAATGATGTTGCCGGCGCAATTCGCCGACTCAATGTCAGTTGGACTTTCCTAACTCCCTCAATCGCAAGCATCATTGAGCCTACCTCGGTCCCCTCCCTGAAGCACCTCGTTTGTGGCGGTGAGAAGATGTCTAATGAAGTCATCACCAAGTGGGCCAATGCCGTTCATCTCATGAACGGGTATGGACCCACGGAAACCTGCATCTTTGCTGTGGTTGATACTGCAGTGGCCGCCAACCGTGACCCCGGTCGTATCGGTTATGGCATTCCAAGCACCCTCACCTGGATTGTTGACCCCGACAACCATGATCGGCTGACTCCACTGGGTGCAGTCGGCGAACTTGCCCTCGAAGGCGCTCCTTTGGCTAGGGAGTATCTCAAGAACCCCGAGAAAAACGCAGAAGCATTTACCTCGGACCCAGCCTGGAGCAAAGACTTCACGTCTGTGGTACCGGGTCCTCGCAGAATTTATAAGACTGGTGATCTTTGCTACTACAGTCCGGATGGTTCTATTCAGTACATTAGCCGCAAAGATCATCAGGTCAAGTTGCATGGTCAACGGATGGAGCTTGGCGAGATCGAGCATCGCCTTTCTGAGGATACCCATACCCGTCACGCTGTCGTCGTTCTACCCAAGAATGGCCCGCTCAAGCAGCGCCTGGTAACTGTCATGTCTTTGAACAGTGTCGCAGCTGATACCAAGTTAATTTCCGATAAGCCCTGTGAGCTTGTTGATCAGGATGAGCTTGAGCGTCATGCTTACAACGAGCTGGTCGGAGTCCAGCAGAATCTTGAGAACCAGCTTCCTATTTACATGGTCCCGCAGACTTGGGCTCTCATTAAAAAGCTCCCCATGCTTGTTTCCGGGAAGCTCGACCGCAAGAAGATCACCGCTTGGGTTGAGAATATTGATGATTCATCGTACGAACGCATCATGGCGGATTATGATCGCATCAAGCGTGGCAAGACTGAAGAGAAATTGCAAGAAAAGGACGAGAACAATGGCCCGCTCAACATTGTCCGTGAAATCTTCGCACAGGTTTTGAATATCTCCGTAGAGAAGGTCAATGTGGACCGTTCTTTTGTTAGCTTGGGTAAGCATCATGTCATCTCCGAAACAGTGAGTATGCTAACTGGGTTTTACAGGGGGCGACAGCATTACTGGAATGGCTGTTATTTCTCGTGCTCGCAAGCAGGGACTTGTTCTGACGCTCCACGACATTCTGCAGAGCAAATCTGTCAAGGAACTTGCTCAAACTGCCAGTTCCAAAGCACCTGTCTCTCACCGTGAAGAAAAGTCTGGTGAAGGCTTTGCGCTTTCGCCTGTTCAGAGGCTCTACTTCCAGAGCTCAACCGCTTTCAAAGGAGACGCTCGTTTCAACCAAAGTATCACTGTTCGCATCGCTCGCCGTTGTGAGGGCGAGGTGCTCAAGCGCGCTCTCAAGGCTGTTGTTAGCCAGCATGGCATGTTCCGTGCACGCTTCGGCAAATCTAGTGGCGGCACCTGGCAACAGAAAACTACGGCTGTAAGCTCACTCCAAAAGCCTCATTCAACACGTTCTAACTCTGGTTCACAGGAGGTTGATGAATCTTTCCGATTCCGCGTTCACTCGGTTCAGGATACCCGGGCGATGGTTACGAAGATTGCTGACAGTCAAACCTGCCTGGATCCTGTCAATGGACCTATTATGGCAGCTGATCTCTTTAACCTTCGCGCCGGTGGCCAGGTCTTGTTCCTCGTCGCTCACCATCTCTGCATTGATATGGTATCGTGGCGCATCGTCCTCCAGGACCTCGAAGAGCTCGTTGTCTCCGGATCCCTCTCACTTGACAAGGCATTGTCCTTCCAAAGCTGGTGTGGCATGCAAACAGAGAGAGCCAAGACGCACGATGCGACTATTGCACTGCCTTTCACCCCCGAGAAGCCAAATTTGCCTTACTGGGGCATGCAAGACTCACCAAATGTGTATGGCGATATCAAGATGGAATCCTTCACATTGGGCGAGGATTCTACCAAATTTATCCTTGACGGTTGCCACAGTGTCTTCCGGACTGACACCGTTGACATCTTGCTGTCTGCCATCATTCATTCCTTTGGTCGCACTTTCACTGATCGCAGGATGCCAACTATTTACAACGAAGGGCATGGCAGAGAACCCTGGGAAGCCGACATTGACCTTTCGAGAACAGTTGGATGGTTCACCACCATGGCCCCTTTGTTAGTGGGCTCGGAAGCTCGTAAGTTTTTGAAACCTCATTTCGCGGATGGAAAGCTAACAAGAAAAGGTGCTCTCAACGACATTATCAAGCGTGTCAAGGATACCAGACGAAAGATAGCAGACAATGGCCGTCCTTACTTCGCCAAAAGTCTACTCCAGGACCAGGCTACTGATTTCCCTGTCCCGATGGAGATCCTCTTCAACTACCTGGGCAAAATGCAGCAACTTGAGCGGGAGGATTCGTTGTTCCAACACCATGGAAGTGTCTTTGACAGCTCAGACTTTGCCGTTGCAGGTGATATGGGCCCTCGGACAGCTCGTTTTGCTCTATTTGAAGTGTCTGCCATTGTCATCAAGGAACGCTTGAATGTTGCATTCACCTACAGCAACAAAATGCAGCATGAGGGCTCAATTCACCGATGGATCCTCCAGTGCAAGCAGACTCTCGAAAAGGATATTCTCACTCTGAAAACGGCGACTCCAGAGCCCACCCTTAGCGATTACCCCCTCCTCCCAATCAACTACCACGGCCTTCAAATGCTCACCACCAGCACCTTCCGCAAGGCTGGCATCCGGAACAAGGATCAAGTCGAGGACATTTATCCCTGCTCCCCCATGCAGGAGGGCCTGTTGCTCAGCCAGCTCCGGGATCCCAATGCCTACATGTTCCATACGGTGTTTGAGATTAAAGATGGCAAATCTGGCACGGTCGATGCCGAAGGAGTTGCTCACGCCTGGCAGACCCTTGTCGATCGGCATCCTGTTCTGCGGACTATCTTCATCGATAGCAACTACACTGGTGGATCATTCGATCAACTGGTGCTCAAGAGCCTCTCAGGCAATATCCTCCGTGTGGAATGTCGCGACTCACAGGTTGAGGAGAAATTGGCTGCTATTTCCCTTCGCGACTTGAACGCGATGCGCCAAACAAAGCTTTCTCATCAACTGACTGTTTGCAAAACAAACACCGGACGAGTGATCCTGAAGCTGGAGATCAATCATGCCATCATCGACGGTGGCTCGGTAGATGTACTTCTCCGTGACCTTACCCTTGCCTACGAGCAAAAGATTCCCGAGGGTTCAGGACCTCGCTTCAGCGACTACATCAGATTTATCAGAACACAAAGCCAGAGCGAAGCTCTCAGTCACTGGAAACAATACCTAGGCGGAGTCCACCCATGTCACCTCGCCCCAACAGCTGTGTTCGAATCCAAGAGAGAACTCAAGGGTGTCATGATGAACTTCCAGCGATTCCCTGAGCTACTCAAGTTCTGCGAGCGCAGCTCTGTGACTCTCGCCAATTTGACGCTGTCCGCCTGGGCTCTTGTTCTCCGACAGTTCACTGGTTCTGATGACGTTTGTTTCGGATATCTTTCTGCCGGTCGCGATGCCCCTGTCAACGGTATTCAGGACATGGTTGGAATATTTATTAACATGCTCTGTTGCCGAGTCCAATTCTCTGACCAGCAAACTCTGACGGATGTGTCCAAGAATGTTCAAGATGATTATATTCGATGCATTCCCCATCAAAGCTGCTCTCTGGCGAGCATCCAGCATGAGCTTGGCTGGCAGGGACAGTCCCTCTTCAATACTACCTTGTCAATCCAAAACCACTCCGTTGCGGGTGGTCCTAAGGACAAGGGATTGTCTTTCAATCTTCAGCACGCACATGACCCGAGCGAGGTGAGTACCAATCCTATCAACGATGGTTTTAACTACTAACCAAATCAGTATGCCGTCACTGTGAACGTTGAGATTGCACGAGGCCAGGAGGGTATTCTTTTGAGATACTGGAACGATATTGTGTCTGATGATGAGGCACAGTGTTTGGCTGACACCATCGCCAAAGTATTCACTGGCTTCATTGAATCCCCATCTGCGACCCTGTCACAGTCCACATTCGCTCCCGAGGCTGAACCCGAGTCAGTGGATTGGGGCAATTCCCAAACCACACTGGCCGAAAAGGCAAAGCCGACCGGCGATGCGATTGATAGTGCTGCTATTCAGAAACTCATTGATGACCGTGTTCATGAAATTATTGGTCGGATGTTGAGGGAAGGAAAACTGACGGTGCCTCCCATTCGTACGGATGGGTTGTCCGGCTATGGGGGTCACAGTGCTGCCATAACCGAATCACCGTACCAGTTAGGTATGCAAGGAGAGGATGATTCGAGTGATTCTCCAGGGAACTTCCCGTCCCAGTGAGGACGGGCTATCGGCTGAGGTGGAAAAGAAATTGTGGAATCTTTGGAGCACAGCTCTTGGTCTCTCGCCTAATGTGGTGAGACACCAGGATAGCTTCTTCAAGTTGGGTGGTGACAGCATCACTGCTATGAAGATGGTCAGTGCCGCTCGCGAAGAGGGCCTGGTCCTTACTGTTGCAGATGTCTTCAACAATCCTGTCTTCGAGGATATGCTGACAACAGTGCAAGCCGCCAATGTTACTCAGCAGATGCTGAATGTCGATCTCAAATCCGGCGGTCACAAGGAGGTCGATAGTGATTTGATCAATATCACACCAACGACACTGGGGCCTAGCCCCTCTTCAGAGAGCCTCGAGGTTCTCAGGCCATCGTGTGTTGACGATGCCGCGGTGCAGAGCGGTATCTGCCCAAAGATTGGTGTCTTCAAGGGTGGCATCGCCGATGTTCTCCCCGTCACTGACTTCCAGGCAATGTCTCTGACGGCAACTCTGTTCAAGTCCCGATGGATGCTTAACTACTTCTATCTGGAAGGCAATGGTCCCTTGGACTTAAGACGCCTTCGCGAGAGTTGCTTGAAGGTTGTCGCTGCGTTTGATATCCTGCGCACAGTCTTTGTGTGCTTCCATGACCAGTTCTTCCAGGTTGTGTTGCGCAAGATTCGTCCCAGCATCTTTGTTTATGAGACAGACCGCGCTCTGGATGAATTCACCATGACCCTTCAACAGAGGGATCGCGAATATGGACCGCGCGAAGGCGAGCAGTACGTGCAGTTCTACGTTGTTAAGAAAAAGGGCAGTGACCAGCACCGTATCCTCATCCGCCTGTCGCATACTCAGTACGATGGAGTGTGTTTGCCAAAGATCATGTCTGCCCTTAAGCACGGATATGAAGGCACCCCGCTGCCACCGGTTACTCCTTTCGCTGGCTACTTGCGACAACTGCCAGGAACAATCACTCCAGACCATTACCGCCACTGGACCAATCTTCTCAAGGGCTCTCGCATGACTCAAGTCGTCCACAGAAATGGTACCAGCATGTTCCAAAACATTGGAGCATTCACCGAAATTCACAGAAAGATTGAAATTTCGCCGACTGCCCTTGGAAATGTCACTATCGCGACTGTCATGCAGGCTGCCTGGGCTCTGGCACTTGCCAAACTTACTGCTCAGTCAGATGTTGTCTTTGGTCTGACCATCAGCGGCCGTAACGCCACAGTACCCGGTATTGAAAACACTGTTGGCCCCTGTGTCAATGTCATCCCGGTGCGCGTGAAGCTCAACGAGAAATGGACCGGCGTCGATCTCTTCCGTTACCTCCAAGATCAGCAGGTCGCCAACATGCCTTTTGAGTCTCTCGGCTTCCGCGAAATCATCAAGCAATGTACCGAGTGGCCTGACTGGACCTACTTCACCACCTCGGTCTTCCACCAGAACGTTGACTACGAGGGCACCATGGAGCTTGACAACAACAAGTACCGCATGGGTGGCGTCGGCGTTAATGACAACCTAGCCGATCTAACCATGGTGTCTCGCCCCTCCGGCGAACGTGGTCTCGATGTCACCCTGGGATACTCCGAAAAGGGACCTATAATGCCATCCTTCGCAAACAAGGTTCTTGACATGGCCTGTGAGATTGCCCAATCCCTCGTCGCAAACCCAACCGCCTCCCTTCCCTCGGCAAGCATGCTATGCTCTCTGCCGCCTCAGACAATCGACGACCTGCCTCGGCCAACAGACGAGAACTTCCTCAGCGCCCATCTCAAGTCGCGCTCTATCGCTGAGCTGCTTGTGCATTCGGATATTCTCTCTCGCTCGTGGCACCAGGTCCTACCCAGCCGCACGACCACAGCTCGCGTCGACCCAGAAGCTGACAAACCAAGCCATGAATCTGCCTTCCAGTTGGATTCGTCCTTCTTTGATCTCGGCGGTGATATCTTCAACCTAGCCCAACTTACCTGGCTTCTTGAGCAAGAGGGTCTGAAGGTCCGCCTCGAGGATCTCATTGAACACCCATCTTTCCTTGGCCAAATGGCCGTGCTGGCTTTGCATAATGCCAAGCACCAGGATGATGTTCCAACGGAGCTCCTTGCTACCGGTGCTGCATCGCCTGATCCTGTCGCTCGTGTAGAAAAGAAGAAGACATGGGCCAGGGCCATGACCATTGCGCGAAGGCTGACTGGGCGAAACAGCGTGATCTCCAGTCGAGCTTAAATTCGCGAAGCAAAAACAGAGAAAAGCAGAAAAAAAAAAAGGGAAAAACAAGTGTTGACCTCAAACGGAAAAGCACAAAACCACCCAAAAAAAGTCCCATTGGTGATTTTTTGTATGTCTTCAATTATTTTGTACGGTTTTGGCTTTTGTGGCCTCTGGATTGAGTACATATAGCATACTCACCATCTTCGCTCTTTAAATTCTTTTTGTTTTGTTTACACAGCTGTCTTTCTGCTTGCTTCTTCTTTGTTATAATCTTATACGCGGAAACCTGTCTATTGAATATCCTCCATGCAGTAGAGTAGTACATTAGACCTCTCAGACTGCGTCCGGATGTAGTAGGCTCGTAGAAAAAAATTTGATTCAATCTGGGATGGCCGAGTCTCGAAGGGTATCATCAGTGCAGGGGATGGGATCCAAGGATAAGATGTAGAATGAAAACACACAGCAATTATTTAGTCGAACCCTAAACAGAGTCTCGCGACCACGTCCCGCGCGCTCGGATCTGCTTCCCGTACCTGTAGAACAGGTATGGAATAGGGATGAGAGCAACAGAAATAAAACCCAACACGCTAGCAGCCCAAGGAACACCAAGATTATGGAACATGGCGGTTGTAAAAAGTGGGAAGCCCCCGGCGAACATGGAGCGCAAGAAAGTGTTCGCAGCGATTGCGCTAGCGGAGTATTTTTGGAAGGTATCGATGAGGTAGTTGATAGCTGCCTGAAAGATCGTGAAAAAACCGAAGCCCATCATGACCGCACCGATATTAGGACAGATCCAGTGTATGTGCTTTGGGCTTGTCCAACCGAAGACGAACATGCCAGCAGCAAAGAGCACAGAGCCGATCATCATAGGCGGGAGACGAGCTTCGGGGACGGGACGATTGTTGTTCGCTTTGAAGCGTTTTATGTAGAACATCTGGTTGGATAGGTTGATGCCCGCGCCCATTAAGATACCGACTAGGTAAGCGAGGAACGGGAGGGCGCCGACAACTTGATTCCAACCGCGGACTTCCTGGAAGACGATTGGGAAGGCTGCTAGACTGAGGTAGAGGATACCGTAGACGAATGATGCGTAGAGGGCGACGAGGAAGCAAATTGGGGTTGCGAGGAGTTGGAAAGGACGGATGAGGTACTTGTTGCCTATTTCTTTGAGCGTCACGTCCCACTCTTCATGGCGGGCATGGAGGGCCCAGTTGCCGCTTTCGAAGCGGAGTCGACGCGCTTTGTAGACTAGGAGTGCTGGCGGGTAGCTCTCGTCGATGAAGAGGAGATCCATAGTTAGGAAGAACATCATCATGATACCGGTGATCTAGTAGAAGTTAGCATGATTCGAACTTTAACCTCAAAGTGTGGACGACTCACATATTCTGTCCAGCGCCATCCCAGATCGCTCTGAACGATGGCACCGCCTGCGATAGGTCCAATGACAGGCCCACCCACCACGGCCATGGCATAGCCGACAATGGCAGCGCCTCGCTCTTCAGCGGTCCAGATATCACTCAGGACTCCGCCGGTGTTGGTAACAGGGGCTGAACCGAAAAAGCCCGTAAAGAATCGAGTGATCATAATAGTCTGCACGTCTTTCGCGGTAGCAGTCGCGAACGAAAAGATCGCTGCTAGAAAGTATGGCGGTAAAACTGCCGCTTTTCGTCCATATAACTCAGACAGAGGCGCCCATATTAACGGGCCCAATCCCATGCCGAACAAAAGTAATGAGGTGCCGAGTGTAGCGACCTCATTCGAGACGCCGAACTCCTTGCTGATCTCTGCCTGGCCTGTCGAGTAACTAACACCATACTTAGTTTGATATATACACCGTGAGGCCCAAAACAATGGACTTACATTGAACTCGCCCAAGTCGAACCTATCGATAACGATTAGCGTCACAATCAATTTCCCCGATAATTTGCCGCGCAGACATACCCATGGTAGTTAATCCATACAACACAGTCGTGATAGCTTTTTTCCGAAAACTCCAGTTCAACGGTCTATAAGGATCGTCTGCCCCATCAAAATCGACGATGACATCGGGACTTGTCTTGGTATTGGTGAGTGGATGATTGAATTGTGCCGTCTGGCCAGGGTCTCGACTCCGAATGCGCGAAACTATTGACTGCGTGCGCTGTTGAAAGGCCGAATACCCCGATGTCGCAGTGCTTTGCTTTTCCAATACGATTCCATCTGTCCCATCGGCACTGCGATGCAGCTCGATATCTGCGCTAGATATGCTGGTGCGATAATCATGTTCTGTCTGTTCACCCATTATCACGCACGAGTCATTGGCTGAAATATCGCAGAGCCAGCGCTGAAGCTGGGGAAGGTGGAATATGCGAAATAAGATAGATGGAGTAGACTAAGTTACGAAAAGTTTGGAAATGGAAAAAAAAGATATGAATCTCGGAGATAAGAGGTGGATATGACGAAAATTCTCCAACGGGAATCTGTGTTTGGGACTGTATGTTGTAAGGCTGATAGATATCTGGGGATGTGAATCCATTTTATTCGTTTTCAAGCTTTCGGACCTCCGATGACAAAAGCCGTGTTATCCGATGGCAGGATCTGTCTCCTTGCCGATCTCGCTACCCAATGAGTTTTTTTTGAAGATATGCCAACATGCCAGTAGCTTTATTTCGGCATCACCACTGAAGCACCGAGGCATATCTCTCCGGCCCAGGACTGTGGAGGAATATGGGGGTTCGGCCTTGGTGGCATGGCGCCGAAGTGGCGACTGTCACATAAGTGGAACGCTGTCTAGGTCTGATGGAGCCAATCAAATCCACGTCCAAGAATTGACTTTTCACGCTTCGTCGACCGGGTATACAGAATTGGACAATATAAGCACAACGGAAGATGGAGGTTGGAGGTTGAGGTTGAGGTTGAGTTATCCAATTATCCTCGTTTTCTACATCACATGACATCATTGTACTGATGTGAAGGGGGAAAAGATGTAAAGAAAGACATAAAAAGAACATCGTTAAACATCTAACCCTAACATCTACTTATACTCTATGCGTATATGCTACACATAAGGCATGCAGGTCGGCTATTAACAGGGACGTTGCCCAAAGGATTGAAACAGAAATAATAACCGCCATTAGACTGTCGGATGCATGTTCTCCCATTTGTCAACCGCTTCGAGCGCAGCAGTAACCTTGAGTCCAATACGAGCGTCGAGCTCGTAGGTCTCCCAGCGAGCAGCATAATCGAGGTATTTCTTGCACTCAAGTACTTGCTTTCTCTCGACCTCTGTGCTCGTCCCCCCAGATGCCATGGACGCTTCGGCTTCGTCCAACGCCTTGGGGCAAGTAGTAATCCCATGAAGGGTTTGGTATGTGGGACGTTCCATCCAGAAGTTGGCGGCCATCTCAAAATGCGCCACTGGGTGGACCCAGTCATCCTTCAGGTGAGCCTTGAACAGAGCCTTGTCGTGGTTCAAGACGCGAGTCTGCAGGAGCTTTTTCGCCTCGCCGTGTCTGCACAGGGACCGCAACACGGCAGCCCGAAGGAGCTCCAGGATCGCCTTTTCTTCGGTCCCCTCGCGAGACCATGTCTTGTTGTTTTCGCTTTCGCACCATTGTAGCCTGGTCAGAGATTCTTCCAGCTGCTCGTTGGTCATGCGACTGTGTCCGTTCCAGAAGAAGATCATTTCTTCGATGGGATCGACCCCAATCGCATCCACAAAAGGCACATTCCATTCTTTGGCACGCGCCTCCAATTTAGCAAGTTTGCGGGTCACAAAGATATCAAATGGCAGTTGTCTAGCCATGAATCGCTTTTTACCGGCGAATTCGGGTGCCTTCCGCATGTATACGGTGGCCTTCTTGGCATGTTCCTCTGCAAGCTTTGGATCATGGAGTGATTGTCGATACAGGGCAACATGGCACGACCCAGCGATGTAGTAATACAGCGAGCGAGACCACGAGTTAAGTTCAACGCACTGAAAAGATTAGCTTGATGGTTCAAAAATCACCGAATAGAGTCTTACCTCGAGGAATGCGTCAGCGCAGACATCATATCTGTGGAGGAACAGTGCGTTCAAACTCTTCTCGAACACACATAGCCCCTCGACCTGTTTGAGCGGGCTTTTGTTTCCTGTGGACAACAGTGCCAGAGCGCTGTCAAGATCCTTATTAGCGCCCAACATCCGCGATTCTTCAAGCATCCAGAGTCGACTGCTGGGGAACCGAGAGCGCATCTCCGCCAGTAACGCAGCCAGTCTCTCCTGCGGGTATCCCTCGACGTCGGTCTCGCCAGGAGTTGGGTCTGGCATAATGTCGCAGTATCGAACAAACCCATTATAATATCCTAGCAGTGCCAAGGCAGCCATAGCACCGATAAGGTTATGGAACTTGCTAGCTTGCCAAAGCATTCTCAACCCTCGTTGCTTGTCGCCGTGGAAGCCAATAATGGAAAGAAGCTTGCTGAATGCGGGTGGGACCATGGAGATCAGTAGAAGTAGAATTCCGAAGCAGAAGTTGGCACCAGAGTGCACAAAGACATCAATTTCGTTTTTGAAGATGTCCGAATCGGGGTCGTGGTGGATATGCTTCAGAGGTGTGGAAGTGCCGGTTGAGGCACCTGGAGATGTGGTTCTGGGGGAGATAGCTAATCCGTTCATTGACGAATTGAGCTCAGTTTGGTCGATGGTAGCTCCTTTTGCGCTTTTCTTCGACGAAAGACTGGCCGATTCCGACTTTGTGTCTGCGCATGCAACGCTCGAGCCTGTGAGATCATTCGCAGTGGGCAGTAGAACTTTGTGTATATTTCTCTGCTCCATAAACTTCTCTTCCATCTTCATGATAGCGTCCAGTGCGATATACGCCTTTCTCAGCCGATAGAATGCTTTGATGCTTTCTGTCAGGCTTTCATTCAGTACTCCAACAACCGCGCTCATCAATTGGGCGATTGCTTGGCACAAGGCGTATTCCGTACCCGGAGCATAGATATCGGAGTGAAAGGCATTTGGCGCTTGGGCGTTTTGCTGGCACCGACTTTGGTCGTTTGCCGCGCTGGTTTCTGCTTCGTAAAGGCGCTCGGATGCTGCGGAATTGTCAGAAACTGTGGATTTAGAGAATAAATAATCATGAACCTTGTCGCATAATCTCCTGCTCGAAGCCTAATGTCGCCCGGACGAATGCGACCACGCCTTTACCCAACTATTTGATCGAGGGTCAATATCTTTGCTCAAGGTCCGTGCTACAGCATAGCTCATAGTGACAGCGACGATCACCCACATTATGAAAAGACGAAGTGCCCGTAGAGAGACCAGTCTCCGCACCATCAACATCATCATTAAGAATCAGCGTTGCCGCTAGTTGGGCATGATATTAGTCGGTGCCTAAAGACTGCGCAGCTTGTCATAGGACATACCTGTCATCGCCTCGTGTACTGGCTCAGAATAGCGCGGTCAGCACACAGTCAAATAACCAAAAACTATGGACTCTCCCAGGGTATATCGCACAACTCACAGTCTTTCAACTCAACCTGCGAGTCCACAGACTGCCCCGGCTTCTTGCCGTACAACCAGGACCCGACTCGCAACATGGCGAAAATTGTTGGGGTTTGAAAATGTAGAATGGATTTTTTTCAATGGAAACACAAAGTCCACGATTACCCCAAGTCAGGGTCAGGGCAATCCGAGCAAGCCGAAAAGAGACACCGGATCGGGAAGAATGTCAACGGTGCGATAGCGGAAAGGCGACAGACGAGAACATCTCAGAGAGAATAACAAAGGGGGAAAGGGAGAATACAAAGGAGTGGAGAGGGAAAGGATGACGGAGGGGGAAGATGGGAAGTAATATCACACCTCTAATGCTGAGGCTCTCTGGGATTCTTTTCGCCGGTAGCTCCGCAAACCTCTTCTTTTGTGGTCAACTCGACCTTTGATCCAATTATTTTAAATGATTCTGTAATATCCCATTCTTTTCTGCTCTCTTCTTCGATCTCACTATTCAGTTTTCTCATTTCTTTCATTTAAAATCCCACAGCTGCACTGCTTTCCAAGGTTGGCTCCCAACTACATCATCGTTATCGCCTTATCGGCGTTCTTACTAAGTAAAACCTCCGACCTCCGACCTCAAAGCTGCCACATCCACATTCACATCTCCCACCTATCTACCATTGATCCTCTCCGGTCAGCATCTTCCACAATGTCAAACCCAACTACCCAGAAGACCGATGCCACAGAGCAGCCCCCATCACAAACAAAGCCCCAAGTCCTAGAGGAAGATGACGAGTTCGAGGATTTCCCCGTTGAAGGTATCGATCAAGCACTCAAGCGCTTCCCTAGAGCAACGAAGCTAACTATACGACACCCAGACTGGCCCCAAGAAGAAGCCGAGCAGACCTCTGGCTCGGCAGCAAATGGCGGTAGCGAGCATCTGTGGGAAGAGAGCTGGGATGACGATGATGCGGCGGAGGACTTCTCAAAGCAGCTCCAGTGAGTTCGCCTTTCACTACACATCCCTCAACCTCAGACACCCCTTACACCATAATCCTTTCCTGCAAATCCTCTTTCAAAATCATATCTACACCGCCCCTAGCGCTCAATCCCCCCCCAATCCCACTTCTCCAAAGCTGACAGCTTCCCCTCTTTCACCGCATCCACTAACATCCATCACCTCATACAGGGAAGAATTGAAGAAAGTCGAAGCCTCGGCTTAAAGCTAGACGAACCTGGACAAGCGTACCAAAAATAGATAATCCCCGCGTCGGATTTCGGGATGGGTCCATTATCGAGTTGGCTGGCCATTTCATCTCGCACACTATACCCCCTGTCTTTGGAACCAATGGGAGGATTCAGAACAATAATTGCCACATGCATTTGTCGGGAGCTTGTCGAGGGTGGAAATGAGACATGGTCCTTTTTGAACTTTTTTTTTACGATTCATTACTCGGAGCGCTTATCTTGCTTTCGGGCTTACTATCATGATGTTCTCTTTGATAATCCAATATCAGAGCTTCTGATTCTCCACGGACCTAAAAGTGGTATTTGTAGGAGGATGAACGGACGTATCAGCTAGGGTTGCGAGGGGGAGTTGTTAATGGCAGTGGCATAGTTCAATCCCATATACATGTTACTGTGGCGTTTTTGTGCTATTCATTGATCGTAGGTATTTACTCTCGTCTACATACATGAGAATCCATCACAGGTCTCGATTTCGTGGCTAAAGTTTCGGTTTCGTACCTGAACATCACACTTAGTTATTCAGCCTAGGAGCAAAATGGAGGTATTTTAAGATAAAGAAAATAGTCTGTAATTAAAGGAAATTCATTGGCTGTGTACATTACAGTTTCATAAACATGCGGGACGAAAGGAGAGTCAATGTAGACTCTTCCCTCGCCATCTTATTTTTCATCATTTACTTACTGGACAGAGCAGCGACACCGGGCAGCTCCTTGCCCTCGAGAAGCTCGAGCGAGGCACCGCCACCAGTCGAGACGTGGGAGATCTTGTCCTCAGCCTTGTACTTGGCGGCCACAGTAGCGGTATCACCACCGCCGATGATGACGATGGAGCCGGACTGGGCAGCCTTGACAGCAGCATCGAGGGTAGCCTCGGTGGCCTTGGCGAAGGGCTTGAGCTCGAAAACACCGGGGGGACCGTTCCAGAGGATGGTCTTGGCCTCCCCAATGGTCTTCTCGTAAGACTTGATGCTCTCGGGGCCAACATCCAGACCCATGAAACCGTCGGGGATACCGGTGGCGTCGGTAGCGGAACCAACGGTGGCATCGGCAGAGAACTTATCAGCGGTGACATAGTCAACGGGAAGGACGATCTCGACGTTGTACTTCTTGGCCTTCTCGACGATGTCGCCGACAATCTTGCTGCCGGCCTCGTCGAAGAGAGAGTTGCCGATCTTGACGTTCTCAAGAGTCTTCTTAAAGGTGAAGGCCATTCCGCCGGTAATGATGAGGCTGTCAACCTTGGGCAGGAGGTTGTCGATCAGCTGGATCTTGTCAGAGACCTTGGCACCGCCGAGGATGGCGAGGAAGGGGCGGGCAGGGCTCTCAAGAGCCTTGGCGAAGTACTCCAGCTCCTTCTTCACGAGGAAACCAGCGGCCTTCTGGGGAAGGTCCACGCCAACCATGGAGCTGTGTGCGCGGTGTGCGGTACCGAAAGCGTCGTCTGGCTTGATGTTAGAAACAAAAGAACGACAGGAAATCGGGATCTAATCGCGGTGTAACATACTGACGTAAACATCACCGAGGGCAGTGAGGCCCTTGCGGAAGGCATCAACATCGGCCTTGTCGGCCTTGACCTTCTTGCCCTCGGCATCCTTAGAGCTGCCCTCCTCCTCGGCGTGGAAACGCAGGTTCTCAAGAAGAATGACCTGACCATCGGAAGCACTGTTCACGGTCTCCTCGGTCTTGGGGCCAACGCAGTCCTCGGTGAAGGTGACGCTCTTGCCGAGAAGCTTCTCAAGCACAGGAACAACGGGCTTCAAGCTGTACTTGGGGTTGACCTTGCCATCGGGGCGGCCAAGGTGGGACATGAGTACAACGGCCTTGGCACCGTTGTCGATGGCATACTTGATGGTGGGCAGGGCACCAACGATGCGCTGGGGGTTGGTAACGTTCTTGTTCTCATCCAGAGGGACATTGAAGTCAACCTATTCCAATCAGTTAGGGACGAATGGAGAAGCGCGATCAGGGTGGGAGCTTACCCGGATCAAGACACGCTTGCCCTTGAGGTCGACGTCAGTAATGGGGAGCTTGTTGGAGAGAGACATTGTAGGCTAATAATATGACAATTGTTAAAGAAGAAAGAAGGAGAGGAAGGAGAAAGAACTAATCAGGCCACGGTGAGTCGTGATCACTAAAGAGTGGAGGGGTTAGTTTTGGTGGGGCAGGCCGGTGAAGAGGTCGCATCCGTAGCAACCAGGGTACCTACTGATGATGTATTAGCCCGAATAAAGTACTTCTTTGAAGTATGATATAGTCAGCAGTTTTCTAAGTATCTTTAGGGAATCGGTACTTCAATGGCCCGTACCGAGCTACCCCCGGAGAGCTAATCGGGCTGACGCGGGACTGATGTCAGAGCTCCCGTTGATACGGGGAAGGCCGGACCATAAAGGGCCTCCTTAGCCTCGGAATCGGAAATTTCTGGGCAGATTTTCTTTACGGATGGAAATGTTCATAGCCGCTACGTGCTTGGGTGTTTTCCCGAGTCCAACGAAATCATGTGAAGCTCGAAGATGGTTGAAAGCGGAAAAGTGGGATTTTTCTGGAGCATCCAAGTCAAATCTCAAACATAGTCAATAGCAAAACCCCAAGATCCGACCTCTTGAAATGCAAACCCTGTCTGTTGGTAAATACCATAACCATTTACATGAAAGCCAGGCTGATAAGCCGGAACGCCCGAACAATTTGGCAGAAGAAAGATTGTAATTTATAGCCCGCATCGTTTATCATCATGTTCGCTTTGATCAGCTTTCTATTGGGACTCCTCGGCGGAGTTGGTTAGTGAGAGGTATGCGGTCCACGCGATACCAACGGTTGAGACGAACGGCTGGATTAAAGAGTCAGTACGGATCCCATCTGAACAAGAGAACCTGGGGGACTCACAATCTGGAACTGGATGGGAACAACACGGAAGTTGAGGATCTGGACTGCCGGCCAGAGCACGAAGTTCGCCTTTAGGGTGGGCAAGTAGACATCACGGAACTTGTTTGTCAATGCCCTTCTACCACCGCCCTCCGCGATCGTCATGTAGGTGAAGAAGCACGCCAGACCTAGATAAATCAGTCCAGTTCAAAAATATCAAAAATTGGGGGGGAGGGGCATATCATACCAAATGGCGCAAAAATCAACTGGTCAAATGCAACACGCTTGAAAGCTGGGGCCGTCGGGTTCTTCTTGGTGAGCGGGAACGCTCTGGACAAGAATCCGAACCACTGGAACTGCAGTGGTGCCATGAGGAAGCCATAAGCCATGAATCTCGTCAGGCGCTCGAAGTCAAAAGACAGCGACGAATTCCGGGCATATCCAAGTTCCCCTGCAGCAGCGGACTTGTGCTTGTCAAAGTCGGGGATCTCTATCGAGTGGAACTCGTCACCGTTTGCTTGAGGTCGGCGGGACCGGTAGGCTGTAATCAGCTGCGCAACGGTATCGGCAACACCACCAAGCACCTATGACATCCATATTGTCAGCTGTCCGCTCATACTTTGATCAATTTTGCGACAAGCTTACCGCGTTGGTGACCATCGTCGTGAGCACTATCGATAGTAGTGATGTCAGTATATGATCCCGCGGATAACCGGCGGCGAGGGGCGTACCTGGCCTTTCGGCATAGTAGCTGTTGAATTTCGCAGCAAGACGTGCTGCTACTGCCATTTCGACGAGAAAAATGATGGTGTGCAATAAAGGCTAGAAAGTAATGACAGTCGGTTAGGCACTGTAAACAAATTGGGAAACAAAATGCCAGGTGTGTGTCAGCAAGGGGGAGCTAACATACCACGCGACCGTAAATGTATCTCTTATTAAGTCCATCCAGGACTTTCCGCTTCGCAGAGCAGATCATGTTGAAGGCTGACGTCTGGAGCAAAGTGATAAGCAGGATTTCTTGGAAGGACTAGTGCGCCAGTATGACGCAAAGATCAAGGAGGTGGGAAAGTACCTACTCCACAGGTAAATATGAGCTGTATATAAATCCCAGCCCCCAATGTTAAGAAACCCCTTGTAAGGAGTAATTAAGATGATATCGAGGAAGAAGATGACCATCAAATTCTCAGGGTTGTTTCCGCCTTTGTGACTAACGAAGTCACCTGGCCCCGGGCCAACTACGACAGTGAGTCGATTACCCCGTCATCCCCTTCCGCCAATCATATTACTTGAACTATATATCCACGTCTATCTTGCTATATCCACCCTACCATCTGTACGAGAATTTCTTTGACTTGCATGAAGATTTTACACTGCATTCCAACCATACTTCAACCCATTCGATCTGTCGCGAATGCTTTCCTTTGTCGACACTGCTCCCCGGGAGGCCTGGGGGCCAGTCTTAGCGTTCTCGGTCACCACCTTCCGACTGTGGATCATTGTAGATCGCTGATGTATACATTCATTTACTGTTTGCAACGTATGGAGTAATGTTATAAACCATATCAATCAACAAGTATCTTTAGTAAAGCTGCATGCTAGACAGGCATAACAGACTCAATTTGTTCGCACAAATTTACCTAGTAACAAAATCAACTTTTGAACTATCGATATATTGATGAAATCCCCCAGGGTACATTAGCTTGAGTATCTCACGTATTTACCATTAATAATTGACTTAGCTTAGTTACCTAGGGAGGTCTATAGTTAGCAGTGCTAGATTCACCTGCGGACACCTTATAGGGCTTCTTTAAAGCTAGAAAGGATAGAAACACCATTGCTATTGATGTAGTTTGATAACGCATACGCCTTTTTCTACATACAATATACAAGGCTTTTTAGTGGGCTTTTCAGTGGTCTTTTCAATCGCTTTCTCGGTGGGCTTCCCGGTTTTTCTTTGATAACTATAAGGTAGTTTTCCCTGTTCCAGTCTATTCAAGACAGCGGAAAAAGGCGGAAAAAGCATACTCTGTGCAAGCGACTTTTCTATGTATAACTTGTGACATGGACTGACATGGATTTTAAGCTAGACAAGCATCTCAATTTGAACTACATTCAGT